TTAAAGGAACACTCCGACTTTTTGGGACTTTAGCCTATTCACCTTATCCCCCAGAGTTAGATAAGTCCATACATACCTTTTTCATCTCCGTGCGTGCTATAAGTCTGTTTGACGCACCCACCGCTAGCCTAGCTTAGCACAAAGACTGGATCTAAATGGTTGCAGCTAGCATACTAATCCAAATAAGTGACAAAATAACGCAAACATTTTCCTATTTACATGTTGTGATTTGTATAGTCACAGAGTGTACAAAAAACAAAGTCACATGAGACACAGACATATGTTTGCTTTATTTTGTCACTTATTTGGATTAGTATGCTAGCTGCAACCATTTAGATCCAGTCTTTGTGCTAAGCTAGGCTAGCGGTGGGTGCGTCAAACAGACTTATAGCACGCACGGAGATGAAAAAGGTATGTATGGACTTATCTAACTCTGGGGGATAAGGTGAATAGGCTAAAGTCCCAAAAAGTCGAAGTGTTCCTTTAAAGGGTTAGTTCACCCAAAAATAAAAATATTTCATTAACCCTCATGTCGTCCCAAGCCCGTAAGACCTCCGTTCATCTTCGGAACACAGTTTAAGATATTTTAGATTTAGTCCGAGAGCTTTCTGTCCCTCCATTGAAAATGTATGTACGGTATACTGTCCTTGTCCAGAAAGGAAATAGAGACATCATCAAAGTAGTCCAAGTGACATCAGTGGGTTAGTTAGAATGTTTTGAAGCATCGGAAATACATTTTGGTCCAAAAATAACAAAAACTACGACTTTAGTCAGCATTGTATTCTCTTCCGGTTCTGTTGTCATCGTTCAGTGACGCTGCTGACGTGTAATCTTGATATTAGTTAGTACAGTTGTTTTTACTGTGATATTTCTGTTTAAACCACAGGAAAATGCCATATATCGTCACCAGAGATGGATTAACACAGTTATGAATGCGCACCATGCCAGATTGACTGATCCCCCATCTGAGCCTGGTTTCTCCCAAGGTTTTTTTTTTTCTTTATTTCTGTCACCTGATGAAGTTTATAATACCGGTATTTATTTTCCTAAAAACAAAAAATCACATAAACTAAAAAGATTATTTATTATAAAGACCATAAACTAAAAGCCTGTCCTTGATTTACATTATTTAATAATGTATATCACTTCCCCATTAAGTAACACAAACATAATTTGTTCGCACATAACTTGGGTTAAAAATGGGTTATTTGTATTTTAAGTGACCGAATAAAGTAATCTCAAAGTGATTTGATATGGTTCCCATGGTTCTCAATTCCAGTTTGGTCCATGCCTTTCTGTGACAATAAACACCAACTTATCCATGTTGAACTGGCATTTTTCCGCACTCTGTCAAACCGCAGATTTCCAGTCTCTTAAGTAGGCTATACTGCATTAGTTTATCATGAGACTCTTTGTCAGGTGCATGATAATGATGTCATTTGAAATGTTCTCTGCCTTTAGTGCCAGCCAGAACAGTGGCTATTTAATACTGGCATGGTTTATCCAAATCTGCTCTCCTTTCACTATGTTGCATTCACATTATCTGATCTCTGCCCCCTTTTTTGGACCCAAGATTCACTGTCTCTTTTACCTTAATTTCTGAAGTGATGTGCATTGCCGCCATCTGCTGTTCAACACGTTCGCACTGTGCTTGACTGTCTTTGTCAATCACAATCTCTCTCTCTCTCTCTCTCTCTCTCTCTCTCTCTCTCTCTCTCTCTCTCTCTCTCTCTCTCTCTCTCTCTCCCTCTCCCTCTCCCTCTCTCTCTCTCTCTCTCTCTCTCTCTCTCTCTCTCTCTCTCTCTCTCTCTCTCTCTCTCTCTCTCTCTCTCTCTCTCTCTCTCTCTCTCTCTCTCTCTCTCTCTCTCTCTCTCTGTGTGAATGCTCTTTTATAGATTTGCACCTCTGAGTTCTCTGAATTCCAACTTCCACCATCCAAGAGAACCTGCTGATTCTTATAAATGCTTGAAATTCTTTCAAAATACTACTACTACTACTAATAATAATTACAACTACAAAAAACTCACAACATCCAAGGTCTAGTTCCAGGAGGCATGAAAAATCAGATTTTTCTTATCTTGTTGAAAACATATATTTCCTTTCTGAATATTTCAGGTTTGTAAATGATGTTTTTTGCATGTGAAAATTAAGCATTTTGATTCCTTCTTCTACAAAATGAGTGTAATGTGTTTGCAAAGACAGTATTATAGGTTTTGGAAATAGGCTAATTGCTTCCTTGTTTAACAAAAGAAAGTTCCCTTTCGAGGGAACTCGCGCTGCGTCGATTACGCTTTGGGAGCGCCTCTACGTGATTGCCTGTGAAGCACGAGTGTCAACTCCAATGGCGAGACAGAATGTCACGGACAGGTGACGTCACGACTAGGAAAGGATAAAAGCACATCTGAAATGACCTGCCTCAGCTCAAACTGTGTGTCTTAGTTAATGTTATCTGCCCCGATTTAGTGCAGTACACAAAATCACACGTATTATGGCGAACCAAACATGCAAACATGCTTCCTAACGGGTGGGGATTCACGACTTGTGTGATGTGTTTGGGAATGGATCATGCTCTGTCAGCCTTTGAGGGGACTGCGAGCATTGTGAGAGGCTGCCGCTTCGCACACTCCACTCCCGCCTGTCACTTTTCGAGGAAAGTGTTCAGGTTTGCTTTACTCATTTTGGCCCCGCTGCTGCCAAGGCAAATGGATCTCTCGGAGGGGTTAGAGACGGGCGCATGTCTCCATCCTTCCACAAAACAGGAAGTTCCTGAGGTTTGCTTTCGGGGGCGAAGCAGTATCGGGTTCTTCTATTCGTTCTAGCTCTATCACCCCAAACATTCACGAAATGCGTTGATGCCGCTCTGGCCCAGCTCAGGCTGCAAGGAATTCGCGTTCTGAACTATATAGACGACTGACTGATATTAGTGCAGTCGGAGCAGATGGCGGTTCGGCATCCAGATGTCGTTCTCGCACACATGCAGAAGTTGGGGTTGAGACTGAATGCCAAGAAGAGTGCTTTCTCCATTAGAGGGGGGAACACCTTTCTTGGTGTGGTGTGGGATTCAGTGACGATGCGGGCCGTCCTATCACCCACTCGTGTTGCTGCTATCCTCACAGTCATAAAGATAAAGCTAGGCCAGTCACTGTGAAACAGTTTCATAGACTATGGGTCTGATGAACAGTGTGAAGAGTGTGCTTTCTCCATTACAGAGGACCACCTTTCTTGGTGTGGTGTGGGATATGTAAGGAAGTAAATAATTAAACAGTTAAAGGGGATTTTAGGGAATAAGAAAAAGCAATAAAAAGTGTAAAATAAGTTAACTGTCTAATTGCAGTTGTGAAGTAATCATTTTACACTATTTGCAATTAATATTTTGTTTTAAAATATGCACACATTCACTCAGATTACTGTTGGTTAACCATGTATTACATTTAGCCTACATTTAATCAGTTAGCAGATGCTTTAATCCAAAGCGGAGGAGAGCAATATAAGCAATTAAACTAACAATAGGACATTTGCAAGTGCTGGGACCCTTCCCAGTTTAGTCTAACGTATTTTTTTTTAAAAGATATAGAATACAAGAGGAAAGAAAAGAAAGTGTTAGTATTAATGGACCAAGTGTTGCCGAAAAAAAAGAGGCGTTTTCTTCAGTCGTTTCTTGAAAATGGCTACGGACTCAGCTCGGGTTGAGTTTGGGTCATTCCACCTGCAGGGAACAGTCAAGGTGAAGGTCCGAGAAAGTGATTTTGTGCCTCTTTGAGATGGCACCACGAGGCGACGTTCACTTGCAGAACGCAAGCTGCTGGATGGGTCGTATGTCTGGAGTAATGAGTTTAGGTAAAAGGGAGCAGAGCCAGTGGTTGTTCTATAGGCAAACATCAGTGCCTTGAATTTGATGTGAGCGGCAACTGGCAACCAGTGCAATTTTGTGAGGAGAGGAGTGACGTGTGCTCTCTTCGGCTCTTTAAAGACTCTCGCTGCTGCATTCTGGATCAGTCACAGAGGTTTGACAGCGCAAGCTAAGGCCTGCCAAGAGAGCATTGCAATAGTCCAGTCTGAATAGAACATGTATTACTGGCTCTGCAAGGCTTTTTAACACATAAAAAAAAAAAATAATAATCTTTGAATTTTTTATCATTTCATTAGTTTACATAACCGCTTTTCATTAAATTCACGAATTCAGTTCCACCAGGAATCCCAGTCTTTGTATTATTATATCAATATACACGATTATCCCATTGAAATCAATGTGATAAACAAGTTAGGTCAAAAGTAACCAAAAGGTAATCAAAAAGAAGTCAGAATACATTATGAAAAATCGATTACATTACTAACTACAATTTTTGTCTTGCATGTCATTTTCTTTAATTTGTAAGTAATTACCCAGCACTGTTTTTATGGCAGTGTAGAATAAATGACATAATAATATCTCAGCAAAGAATTGGATACTCTTCTCTCAATAGATTATTTTATATAATAGGAAAGCATGATTCTGGCAAATATAATAAATGCAGACATTCAGAATGAGAATTTGAAATAGAAAGAATCCAGCACAGAGAATAATTAAACCCCAATTAATATTCTTGTATAGCATATAAACTATTTAAAAGAAATACATTTCTATAAACAGAATAAATATTATGTTATACAAATGTATTTCTTCCCCAGTCCATTCACATATCAACGCGTCACACTCCATCCCAGTAGATGGCGAATGTGTACCGATAGCTTGAAAACCGCTGTAAAACCTAGTAGAAGAAGAGGGGGGAAAGACGAAGAAGAAGACATCGGCGCCAAATTTCAACGTTCATGGCGGAGTTTGGTTTCACTTGTTGATGTATAGATTTTTTATGCAATCATATCTAAGTCTTTTTAAGAAATTGTACTACATGGAAAATCGTCTGGAAACGCCTGTGACATTTTGCGCCTTTTAATTCGAAGTGTCATGCCGGGTGATAGTTAATATTACGCGTCGCGTTTCACCTAAGTTAACTATAAGCGTCAAGAATGTGGAATAACGTCGAACTTCTGCTGAACGAGGACACTAACACAGTCCGACTGTACAGCGATGCTGAACAAGAGTCCGGGAACGCTTTATATCAAGTGGATACCTTGGTTAAAATCTCATCCTCTGAAAGGGTTAGCAAAAACTGTCTTTGTTGCTATTTACAATAACACAAAGTAACGTTACTTGTCATATTGACATATTTTTTGGAACAGTGGTAATGACAGCTGGCATTTGACGTAACGTACCATGCATTACGATCTCATCAATATACAGGACCGGTTAAAAGTTTGGAGACATTACTATTTTTAATGTCAGAAATCTTTCTAATATGCTGATGTGATACTCAATTATTATAAATGTTGGAAACAGTTGTGCTGCTTAATATATTTTTGGAAAACCTGTGATATATATTTTTTCAGGATTCATTGATGAATAAAAAGTTAAAAAGAACAACATTTAAAGAAAAGAAAGAAATATTTTCTAACGTGTAATCTTTACCATCACTTTTGATCCATTTAATACATAATTACTGAATAAAAGTATTAATTTATTTCAAAAAGAAAGAAAAAAATCATTGACCCCAAACTTTTGAGTATTTTGTTACAAAAGATTTCTATTTTAAATGGTGTTCTTTTTAAACTTTTTATTCATCAAAGAATCCTGAATCCTGTATCACAGGGTATAAAAAAATATTAAGCAGCACAACTGTTTCCAACATTGATAATGACTGAGTATCAAATCAGCATATTATAATGATTTCTGAAGGATCATGTGACACTGAAGATTGGAGTAATGATGATGAAAATTCAGATTTGGATAACAGAAATAAATTATATTTTAAAGTATTTTCAAATAGAAAACCATTATTTTATATTTTTCACAATATTAATGTTTTTTCAGTATTTTTGATCAAATAAATGCAGGCTTGATGAGCATAAGAGATTGCCTTCAAAAACATAAAAAATAGAAATGTTTCCAAACTTTTGACCGGTAGTGTATGTATATAGTTTGTACATTTGTGCATTGCATACCTTGTTTAGTGTTTTACACTGCAATTAATATTTATCTGTATTTGAGTTGTACTATATAGTTTTGTATAATGATGATAATAATAACAATTATTGTTTCTTTTCCTTTTGTTGTCATTAGTATTGTTCTTGTTCTTTTATGCTCCAGGTACTGTGTAATCCAAAGGTCTACGCCTCCAGTACTCCAAACTGCTGTATTGTTGTTGCTGACACTGCAGTGGTTGTCTTTGATCCTGGTTTTCAGACTGTTTTGATTCACCTGTATTTTGGTAACACAAGCTCTGTCATGCACAGTTAACATTCACTGTCCACAGTACTGTAAAACCTATATCTTCAATTGCTCTCATGTGTGATTCAGACTCCGTGGTAGATGCTGTTACTGCTTGCCCCCAAGGCCAGTTTCTTCTGGTTGGAGAGAGAAATGGAAGTCTGCACATCATCTATGTCCCTCTGAAGAAGACGGTGCTGACCAAAGTAAGCTGCAATAAATGGAATTGTATTAATTGCCAGTTTGACTCCAATATCACAGAGCTGAAAACAAAGTTGCGGTAGTTTTTTTTTTTCCCTTATGGTGACTGAGTGGAACGGCTTCTTGAACAAGAAAAAAATTTAGGACGGGACTTGATTTTGTCCATCAGGAACCGATTGAATCATTGTGGTTTGTTATTGCTGTGATCTCATGTGAGTGACAGGTTGTCCTCCTGCCCTCGCACTAGTAAACACATTATCAGAGAAGAGATGAAGCTGGAAGGGGAAGTTAGTTTGATTAAAGATTACAAGGGCACATGAATAATAATAAAAACGGATAAAAAAAACAAGAATTAGCTATTTGATTTCACGGTAACTAATCTTTTTTCCAGACTCTGCACCAACAAAACCCCTGTGATGGTGATGAGACGACCTTTAAGAGCCTAATTCTGCACGAGACACCTGGTTCTAAAGGTGAGTTTCTATAAATGGTATAGTAAGCAGTAAAATAAAGATGTATATAGAAGAACATGTACTACATATATAGATGTGGACACTGATAGCATTTCCATAGTCTGTACTTGTTAAATTATCAAAACAATTTCTTTCTTTTGTGTTTTAGGAGTGTATGATCTATTTTTCATTGTTAACAATGGTTTCCTACACACATCGAATGTGGCTTTGGGAAAAATACAGAGCGCGATTGAAAACATGGATCTAATGGCTTTAAATAAGGTAGATGTTTCAATTAATCAATCAAATGTCACATTTCTTTTATTAAAGGGTTAGTTCACCCGCAAATGAAAATTCTGTCATTAATTTCTCACCCTCGTGTTGTTTCAAACCTGTACGACTTTTGTTCGTCTTAGGAACACAAATTAAGATATTGTTGATGAAATTTGAGAGCTTTTAAACCACTTCATTCATATAAATGACTTTTTTGAAGCGTGACATTTTTGGGAGAATGGGCTTTCATTGGAGGGACAAAAATCTCTCAGGTTTTTATTGAAACTGTCTTTGTGTTATGGACGATTAATGAAAGTTTTATGGATTCAAAAACTTGAGGGTGGGTAAATGATGATAGAATTAAAAATGTTGGGTAGACTATCCAGTAAAAAATGATCATAGCTGGTCATAGGAATGGTTGTCTCATGAGATATGAGACCAGTCTAAATCAAAGGAAACAAGAAATGAGAAACAGGAGAAGGAAAAATGTATTATTTTGTTTTCCTTACAGATCCAAGATGATATTCTAATGAACTTCTGCTCTACTGAAGAGATTCATGAAGATGGTTGCATCTCAGCAGGTCTGGTCTGCTTTGGAAGCACAATCCACCTTCTGATTGGGGTAACTTTGATTCTAAATCTTAAACTCAACTGCATTTTCTCTTCCTTCCCCAAAATAATCTGATGCTTCTTTTCCTCCCGCTTTCCAACACAATTAATTGCTGTGGAATTATGACATAAGTTGATTTCTGAAATAAAATTCAGGTGTTAAGGGGCTGTCCCAGTACAATTTTCATTCCATTGACTTCCATTTATACGCATTTGAATGCAGGAGATGGGAAACTAAAGCTCAAGTGGAGAAGTTACACATTTTGCTGCATCCAGAAGTTCTAGTTTGTTGAACTCTGACCTGTGAATTTGTATCACTTGAAGACTTGTGACTAGGGCTGGGTGATAAAACGATTACAATAATTATCGTGATTCTTCAAAATGATAACAAGAGTTCTATAAATGTTCGATATAATGTATGCTCAGAGTGAGCTTACTAGATCAGATGCGTTTACTTACTAAACAGCGCTGTGAGAAACACTGTGTGCAACGGTACAGTCAGAAGGCTTTTCAATCTACAAATCGCTATGGATGTACTGTAGTAACACTAACTGCACCATGGTATTGTGGCAGAAATGTGGGATATTCATATCGAATTTTATTATATATTTAATGTAGATGTATTAGATGTATTAAAGGAGTAATGTGATTAAGCTATAGCATTTGTGCATTTATAATAAATGTAGTGTACTGTTTTTTTTCTTCATAAAAATACCATAGAAACCATATAGTTACATTTTACCATGGTAGTTAGTTGTTATGCATGGTTTTAATCTGTGGTTAACATGATCTAAATTTTGCACTGATAAGGAAAAAAGTGAGCTCGTCGCGCCGGTGCGAAGTACTCTTACTTAGATGTATTGATTAGGGAATTAAAATGCATTTTCAAAGTAAATGTTATTATCATTCCCTTTCAATGTCTGATATACAGTCTTAATTTGTAAAATGAAATGTAGGAGCTTTAAGTAATCACCTGTATCTATATGACAGGCTGATGGTGCTAATGTTCTTTCACTTTGGACCATGGGTCATGGGCAGACATCACTGTCTCTCACAAAACTCCTTGACTCTGCTTTAATGTCAGGTACTAAATGTGTTCTTGCTATGTTTACATTGATTATTATTACTAAATATGAAGTGTGTTAACATAGCTGTAAATAAATGAAAATGTTCTATTTGTCTATTCAAGAGGTGAAGAAGATTCAAGTTGTGGATAATTGGATGTATGTCCTAAACAAAGAGGTAAGGCCTTGTGGAAACTGATGTTGATGCTAGAGATGCACCCAAATTAAAATTATTGCCTGAATCCCAAAATATTTTGGACACTAGGGGTGTGCGAAACTGACAAAAAACAAAACAAACGGTTCTGACGCACTCAGTGTCCGAATTTGTTTCACTCATTTCATTGACTCCTTCAAGGGGACTATACAGTCCCTCCAGAAAAACGCAATTATGCGATCGCTGAATTCAGTGCATAATCAGCCATAGTCCGCATATTTATGCGGGGGTCGCATTTTTTCAAATACTCCGCAATTTTGCCGCATAAATTGCTGATTTCCGCGCAAAATATGCGGGGCTTGCATGAATTCATAATCCCCGCATTTTCGTCGCAAAAAAGTGACATATATCTTAGCAGAAAGTTGGGAAATGTTGCGTTTGCTTCACACAAGAGCAGCCATTTCCCCCTGTTGCCATGGGAACGTTATGAAGTGATGTTACGCGGCGTGAACATCATCGAAAAGCTGTAAAACAGGAGGACACTTTATTTTTAAATATTTCATTTATTCATTTTTACTGAAGTTGTAGCATATTCCTCTAGTAAAGCTACAGAACTTGTTTGACTCATCAATGTTTTGTAAGTTTGATGTGTTTATTAAGGTCTTGTAACGCGTTGTGTCGGGAAGAAAAATAGGGATAGCTCACAGCTGAAGTTATTGCAGAGGCCAGACAGATCTGTCTGCAGTAACGTTATATTGTATGTGCGCCTCGAACACCCCATGTGTGCGGGTAATTTCTGTTTAATGCAACTTCTTTTATCTTATTTTGTTTATTAAGTAACGATGTGGACGGTAGAACGTGTGACAGACAGTTATACGAGTTCGATTTGGGAATAAAGTGCGAGTTGTCTCCGTGAGTCACACCTTATTTCCACTCGTTACAGTCTGAAATAAAACAAGATGAGAAATTAAATATTTCCAGCACTTTCTGTTATGTAGTATGCTTGCTTATCATAGGAAGTAATAAGAAAGGACTCTTTACATTAAGGTAGTAGCCTAGTGAGAACAGGGTGTTGGGGGAATCACTTTTTTTTTCTCTTTTTCATCAAACCGCAGTTTTTGCAAGTTCCCGCAATTTTTGCAAGTTCCCGCAATTTCATCGCAAAAAATTGCATAAATATCCCGCATATTCCATCGCATTTTTAAAGAAAACGGGCCGCGTAATCAAGGATTTTTGCCCGCAACAATCACAAAAAAACTCCGCGTTTCTCTGGAAGGACTGACTATATTAGTAGACTAATGTAGGGCATAGTGAATGAGTGTATAGGGAGCGATTCCGAACACAGCTAAGGTCAACTTCCAGGCAGGAGAGTTGGAGCTGCTGGGGGGATCTGCTCTAGGGGGATCTGGGGAATGCTCCTCTGGAAGAAGAAATGTAGATAAAAAATGTATATGCATTGACTTCTACCTGTACCTTACAGTCGAGTCAAGCCTCTATTTAGATATGTAGTGTCACTGTCCACATTACATTCACAGCGGTGTTTTTAGGAAGCCAAACAATTTGCTAAACAATGAGATCTCAAGGAATTCGTCCAAAATGCCTCCATAATCAATCAGACCATTTTCATAATCGATCATTGGTATCACTTTCGATTACCTGGGTACTCTGGGTGCCCATCCCTAGTAAACAGCATAATGCAGAATTGAGTACCGACCCACTTCAAGCACTGCCGTCACTGTGATATTTCAGACTGTCCTCAGGGCTGCCCGATATCCCAGGTCAAGCATGAAAGATGCTCTGATGACAGAATTTGCTACATATTGTTACGAAAGTTGATAATTTTCACGTATTTTGTATTTTTGTCTTGCCAATTTAAGCATTCAAGTGATTTTAAATCATTCAAGCATGATAAGACTCTACATACAGTGAAGACTGAAGTGTTCTATTTTTACATTTGATTATTCAGTTCATTACTTGAATGCTGCTGTTAAATAGAGTGCTGCAGGGATGGCGTATCTTTGTAGGCCAATCCAGGAGTTAGCATCACACTGGTTCCCTCGTCAAAAAACCCAATAGGATTTTTACATAGGCTTTTGAATTATCTCATAAAATAAACTTTTTGATCAATAAACATTTATTAATCTTACGTTTTTTCCTAGATATTTTTTCCACAAATTAATAACTTTTAAAGCCTGAATAAAAAGCTAACCATGGTTGCTTAACTTCAGCATCACCACCAAGCTTTTCATCAACAACTCTTTCAGTCTTTATTTACATTTTCCTTGACAGTTCGAGTTAATAGTTTGCAAGAGTGCGATTATAAATACAAGGCTGTGAAAGCAGACTATTGCGCATATGAGTTTACCTGTTTACAACGTCTGTAGTCCCATTTAGCAACATGTTAGCAACCACCTTTTTCAAGACATGTAAAAGCATGAGTGGGGTATCATTGGTGTGTTTTATGCCATAGAGTAAAACGGGAAAATATCTTGAGCTTGTTTTCACCTCAGACCTTATTTCAGGCTTTTAACCAAAAACTCAAAAAAAAAAAAAAACATTGAATTTGGGATGATGGACCTAGAAGTGCTAAAATGCTAACTTGTTTATGGGTTTTCGCCTACAAAAATACATCATACCTGCAGCACTCTATAGACCCGCTGTACCTGAAAAATCGAAAGAAGTTAATTTCATTTGTACCTTTATTTTGTGTTTGCCCTATGGTTTGTAATTTGTTTCTTTGTTCTTACTTTTAATAACAGAGATAAAATAAATAATGAAATAAAATAAGTGAAATTATAATTGATTGGTCATATTGCTCATATGTACTTTGGTCTAAATGGTATGTCATTCGCACCCCTACAGTCAATGATCGCAGTGTTGATATCTGCAGTGTAAATTATTTCTAGTTATAATTGCACAATGCATATCTGCATAATTTAATTTTGATTTGTCAAAACTGAATTATGTGAACTATTAGTGAAGCTTGGGGCATTAATTAGTAAAATGGCTTGCTATAATGTGTCAGCTGATGAGATCAGTGACATCATTAAAGATGTATCAAATGGAAATTTGACTACTGTTTTTTTTTTCTCTGAAATCTTGAATCATCAGTCCTCAGGCCATATAGCGCAAGCGTGGTGTTGATGCTAGTTTAATTTCTTGCATGTCATACATTAGGCAGATGCTGTTTATAGAACTTTGTTCTCTGTGGAATTTGTTATGAGCCTAGATGACACAGTTGTCATAGCTCTTGGTGGTTGTTTTTATTTATGAAGACCTTCCTGAGATCAGAGGTTCAGGAAATGACATAGAAGTTTCCGGCTGTTATCTAGCTGAGATTTAGCTGAATAGTTCTCTGAACTGTTCAAAACGGTTAATGTTAGCATTATTGTTAGCAAAATTGACAATTAAATGACAGTTTGGTGCAGTTTTCTGTATAATTTGTAAAAAAGTTGTTACAAGGGTTACTTTAAAAATACATATTCTTAGTGATCTGAATGATATGGGCTAATGTTATTGGCATCAGCTTAAAATGTCCTGATCAGTGCACCACTAATTTGTATATGAAATATTCTTTTTCTTTCTAGGGCATGCTCAGCTTGTTGGACATCCACTCTTTTGTCATGCTTTGTTGCTGGCCGGATCAATACATTGTTGATTTCCTGCTGATATCAGAGAGAAACTCCTCATCTATTACACAGCAAGTGTCTTGTTTGACTTCTTTTTGTAAGACATTGAGAGAGCTTGTTTTTCATGATTAATCCACACATTGACAGATAAATGTCTTTTGTGTTGTACAGGCAAGATGATAACAGCTTGAAAATCATGACCTTGGTAGCTGAAGAAAAGAAGGTATGTCTATTACCATTTCAGTCATAGACGACTCTTGTCATACGTGAGAGACTCCATGAATTTTCTTAGCAATTGTTTTTTCAGGGGTAGGTTGCTAGGTCTCTCCCCAACCCTCCCCATTATATGGCTGGGGACTCACACACACGTGCACTCACACCCATGGACAATTTAGCATCACGATTTCACCTATACTGCATGTTTTTGGATTGTGGGGGAAATTGGGAGCACCCAATGGTAACCCACACGGACAGAGGAAGGATGTATATATGTAATTGAAAAAACAGTTTTATTCCTCACTTGTTTTCTTTGTTATCGATGTCAAGGGTCATGCTAGGAAGCTTGTGATTCAGTCCCTGCCTTCTATGGAGGTTTTCTACTCACTAGAAGTTTCTTCTGAGTCGTGGTTGATCCAGAAGGGAATCAATATGGTAATTATAACAATGCATATTAACAGTATGGAATATATATGAAATTAAATTAGATGTAATGTAATGCAAACCTGTAATATTTGTTGCTAATGTTCAACGGGTTGTCCTTAGACTTTCTTTGTCATATTTTGTAGGGGAGATACTGGTTGAAATAAAGCTCAAATTTGAATATTGTTTCTATCGTGATTATGCCAGTGTTTCTTGGCTGAATCTCCAATGTCTGTGCTATGGGTGTAACTGTACACAAGAATGACAAAAGTGGTACAGTATGTTTTCAGCACGGCAGGGGGGAACATCTAAATATTAGTTGCTGCTTCAAATTTCTGGAACTTTGAAAATCTCACGCTACATAAAACATTAACAATGTCAGTCTGTTGTAGGAAACATGCGCAAAGTCGTTGCAGAAACAGGGTTGTGTTGCAAAGTGCACTTTGAGCGAAACATACCGAAAAAACTGGTCTACAAACCTCTGTGACCAGTGGAGACGGCAGCACGGAAAATAAAGTCACTATCCTTCAAATTTTTGGACAACTTTGGACTCGTTGATATCCAATACTTCCAAAAATTGGTTACCAATGCAAATTAATCTGCAAAGCCTATTGGTCGACCTTTAAAAGAAACGATACTTGAATATTTATGCCGTTTAATACATTTCTACCAGCATCATCCATCCCATATATAGTTATGATGAGCCACCTGTCCTTGATATCTTGTATGGAAGGTAATTCATAAATTAAACTCTTTTCTTCAGGACACCATCTATTTGCTGGAGGGAATTTTGGCGAACACAAAGAGGTGACTAACAGACACAGTTATGACAGTCTATAGATATTAAGGCCAATGAACTTTTGCATTTATATTGTGGTGTTAATATGTTGTAGTGAATTCATCACATTTGTGGATAGCGAAAGATTAATTTGAATAATTTGTATGTTTTAAAGCAGCCATGAAGATCCAGTGTCTACTGTTGTGATAAGATGCTTCACAGAGGCGCTGCCAGAAAACAGGTGCGCTCTCGAGAACATAAGTAATACTGATTATAATTGAATTTATTTTTACTTTTATTTTGGTTTCAGAAAGATATTGTTAATAGATTCCGCTGAAGGAATGCACTGCTTGATTTTAATGCTTGTTTGGGTGGTTTTGCTCCTTATGCATTATTTATTTTGTTTATTTTATTTTCTATATGTTGCTTCACTTTAATACTTAAATTAAATTATACTTTTCTTCAAGCAAGCAGACTGCTTTTAATGCAGTACTTTGTACACTGTTTCTCTCTCTGCTTCCTCCAGACTGAACAAACTTCTTTATAAGCACAAGTTTGAAGAAGCAGAGAAATTTGCAAAAGCTTTTGGGCTTGATGTTGAAGTAAGACATTAGTACATTTTCCATATCAACATTTCCTATATAACAGATTTTTCATGGTAAGTTGACAAGGTTTCTTTTTGTTTGTTTTAGCTGGTGTATAAGGTTAAGCTGAATGTTGTGCTGGAAAAGCTCATCTCGACATCAGGCAGTGATCAAACCCTTGAGTGGCCTGAGCTCATTGATGAGGCTAAAACCAACCTGATGAAGATCATGGTAATATTCAGCTTGGCAACAAATGTGAATGTGCAGGGCTTCATGGGAGACTTACACACAATGGTGGCTGGAGAAACTACTATCACTCTATTTCACACATATGTACAGTTAGTAATACTACAGTATGCTGTACTGTTGGGATGCATATGTCAATTTGCTGATATTAAAAGGGTCATGATGACACGAGTAATACAATTTTTGACATACTGTAGTAGTAGTGGTCATTGCTCCTACTCTACCTTATCACTTTCATAGCCCACCCAGCAGTTATTACGATGCATTGCAATACTTCAGGCAGTCATCCTTTGTGATATATTGTGAATGTTTAGCACCTAGTCTTCTCACATGTCCCACAGGATGAGCAGTTTGTGGTGCAGTACTGCCTAACTGCTTCCTGGCCTACTCTCAGCATTGCGGAGGAGATGTTAAATTACACCTTGAACCGTTTCCCGTGCTGCCAGATCCAAACAGCCTTGGCTAAGCTCGCCACCTTTGCCAGCATGTATGGACCCAACAACTTTGAGTACGTTAAGCTGGCCAGCAGTTACTTATTTTCTAAGTTTTTGAAATGTTAGACATGAATTTTGTCCTCCATAAGCTTGGAACACTTTAGAAATCATTCATTTCTTGTCCTACACATCCTTCTGGGTAATTGTATTCTCCATCTCCATCTCCATTACAGGGGGATCTCATGGATTGAGTTTTTGAACAGCACAGATTATCTTAAAGACATCCACGCTCTTCTGAAAGAAGGGAATCTTAGTGGAGCACAATATTTGTGGCTGCGACACGAGGTAAAACTCAAAGTGTGGTTTGTTCTGTTGCTTCAGTATTTGACCAGGAACCTGCCAATGGCTAGTGAATTGAGAATTTTAGCCACAATAATTTTATACTGGCCTTGAATGTGTATTTTACATTTGCATTTTTTCATTTTTACATAGAAATAATTATTTAGCCAGTTTTCCCTTTGTGTTTACAACAAATCACAAATCATTGTTATATACTCTAGCCCGGTGGTTCTCAACCTTGTTCCTGGAGAGCAAGAGCAAAAGTGCTGTCTTTTCTGGAACATTAGCATGATTGCAAATGTCTTATTGATTTTAGGAAACTGGTCAATAAACTACAAAATAATATTTTAAGTTACATTTTAGAGACATTATTATTTTTGCATTATTCTGTCAACAAATTTCCCAGTGAAACCTGTGGTGGCAAACAAAATGATATCACTGAATAAGAGACTTTTCACAGTTTTGCGTCTCCGAGCAACACAGCAGTGCTTTGTTACTGAATAAATCTGCTGTTTGAACTAATCAGTTTAATGAACGATTCAACGACTAAATGAATCATCCGTTTGAATGAATCATTTAACTGAATAACTCAATGACCCAACTCATTTATTTATACAGTGATTTGCTGACACAGACTGGGGGTTTTAGTTTCATATTTAAAGTTCATATTTAAAACAAACTTTGCTTGAGTTTTAAAACAAACTGCCATGACCAGCGGTTTTCACTCTACAAATTGAGTATATAAGCTTCACCATCAAGTTCTGAGCACAAACATCTGCCGGTCACAGACACTAAAAGCCTCTGTGCAGTGCAGCAGTCAGACGTGTACCTGCACCAACCATCAACAGCATGTGCCAAATCATTGAGAATGAGTCTAGAAAGGTCCATTGTTAAACAAAGACAAATGCATATTAACAGTTCAGAGACAAAGGAAAACAGACAAAAAGAGAAATAAACAAACAGCTTTAATGTGATGGGGCAGCAGTTATTAAATTAATTTTATCTATCCCAGATTCACAGGAAATGTGAGTCAGTATGGAGTCCAAAACCACTGATTCAATTGGGATGTTAAACATAAACTAAAAACAGAGTGCACTTTTAAGGCATTTTATGAATTTGTTACTCATTTCATTTTGGTAGAATTTTCCTCCATGTGGAGTTTTGACAATGAATGAATTGAATTTCTGATTTTATTTAAGTTTCTGATGGTATAATTTATTTACTACTAAGGTAGAAGGTGCAGGTGCAAAAAAAAAACACACTTCCCTAGACTATTTAAATCTCTTTGTTTTTAATTCTTTTATTTTTTATTTATTTTTTATTTATTAGTAGTCGGCACTGTAACTTAAAGTTGTTACTACAGGTTCTTTCCCCATGATAATTAGGTTTTTATTACATTTCTCTCTTTATTGCATTGCCGCCATCTGCTGTTCAACACGTTCGCACTGTGCTTGACTGTCTTTGTCAATCACAATCTCTCTCTCTCTCTCTCTCTCTCTCTCTCTCTCTCTCTCTCTCTCTCTCTCTCTCTCTCTCTCTCTCTCTCTCTCTCTCTCTCTCTCTCTCTCTCTCTCTCTCTCTCTCTCTCTCTCAGGGTGAGTTTGCCAGTGCATTCGATGAAGACTGCCTGCATGCTCTGTTGGGCTCCATTTCATCAGACATCCCCTCACAGGACCTAAGTCTGTGGTTTAAGGGTGTTGTCGTCCCATTTATATGGAGATTGTTGCCCAAAGGAAAGGTATGAGGGCAGTTAATACACTTGATTTTAAACTACACAATTTTTTTTCAGATTGTCTTAATGACCATAGTTTTATTCGACTTTAATTAATAACACCAGTTATCGGGAATAATTCTTGCCCTGCAAGGTGGATAAGAAAGGGTTTTTTGTGTATGCCAGTTTTGATGAATCACTATAAATAAGGTAATACAATTCAAGCAAAATGTTTGAAAAGCAAATAGTTCTTGCATAATCTTACTGTAATTTTAAATCCTGTTGTAATCTCTTGGTTGAGAATGGAGCAGTGATATTTGAAATTAACTAGTTAGTTGTGCTTCATATTAACACTTTTTATATTTTAAATGTACACAGAAAATCCTCGCCAGGTGGTTGGAGCAGCGTGTAAGGAATCTGGAGTTAACCGAAAAGGTAGTTAACTCTTATGACAAGTTTAAATTTTTTTTTTTTTTTTTAAATTGACATATCAGGATATTACTTTTCAAAATAAATTCTGAATTTATAAACACAACCTAGCAAATGATTAGCCAGCCCATTTGTGATCCTTTCTGTCTCTAAAGCATCATTTTGCGTTTTGCCAGACATCGATAGTCACACATTGTGTAGCCAAATCTCAATTGGGCCAAAGTATACAAAGATTCTCTTTCTCTCTTAAGTAATTTGATTTATTTTATTTTTTTATAGGGTGACTGGCCTCATAATGGACTGGTTCTGGCTGAACTTGGCTTGCCTTCTCTTTGGAGGTCAATGGGTTTGGTAAATGTCAAGTTTACCTAACATTTTGTCCCCAAAATTGAAGCTGTTTGAAAGCGTTGAGGACCATATTCCTGGAAAGTCGGAGCGACATCCTCAGATAAGAATGAAATTGTTTTTCAGGCTGAAAACTGTGGAGCAGAGGAAGTGCAAAATCTGAGGTCATTAGTGGCAAACCTCCGACAGCTTTGTGACCTCTACACCAAATATAACTGCCACCTTTCACTGTCTGACTATGAAAGGGTGAGTATGAAAGTTTAGATGTTCTTATATATCAGTGGCCCTAAAAGTATTGGACACTTAATCCAACGGACAAGTTACTTCGAAAATGTAATACATTATATATTACTAGTTACTGTCAGTTGAAAGTAATTAGTTACATTACAATATTACTGTCTCTGAATTGTAATGCGTTACACTACTTTTGCGTTACTCTTGAGTTACTTTCACCAAAATAACCACAGAAGTATGACTAGGCATTAAAAATTCCTCATTATTGCTCATTATACATCCAGTGGAGGGCGATGTGATGTAGCATAATGACTGTGTAGGAAGGCTCATGACGCAATACAATAAGTAACAATCACTGTCAGAATCACAAAAGTAGACAAACGAAGTCTGATCTGGTAAATTATGGAAGAGATTCCAAACACAATAGAGCTAGAGCCCACTATAATGTAACCTATAGCCTAATGACATGACAAAAGATATTCTTATAAAAATATATATAACACCACTTGCGTTGTTGTAACGTACATTACTAAGATTGTAACGAGTATAACATTACCAACATTTTATTAGTAATGCGTTATATAACTGTGTTACAGCAAAAACTAATATATTACTGTATATTATTTATTACATTGATTATAATATTATTACTTGTGTAATACGTTACTTCCAAAGCTTGCGTTCACCTGCAGGGCTCCAGACTAACAGTTCTACAGATGGTGGCACTAGCACCCGATTTGGTAGCGGTGGGGGGATTTTTAATCAAAGGTGATTTAATAATAAAATGACTTATTTTGCATCAATAAGTGCAGTAACTAATAATATTACATGTTTATTTCTTGTAAATTTGACAGGAAATTTCTTGACACATTTGACTGTAAAGCACTGAGCTTAAATTGAGATGCAGATAAAATCAACTTTTATTAAAGGGGTCATATGATGCGATTTCTTGTTTTCCTTTTTCTTTAGTGTGTTATGGAGCTGTTAGTGCTAGTATAAGATCTGCAGAGTAACAAAGCTCAAAGTGTCAAACCTACAGAGGTATTCTTTATAAAGATTAAAGGATTAGTTCACTTTTAAAATAAACTTTTGCTGATAATTTACTCACCCCCATATCATCCAAGATGTCCATGTCTTTCTTTCTTCAGTTGAAAAGAAATTAAGGTTTTTGATGAAAACATTCCAGGATTTTTCTCCATATAATGGACTTCAATGGGCCCCAAACGGTTCAAGGTCCAAATGACAGTTTCAGTGGAGCTTCAAAGGGCTTTAAAGGATACCAGACTCGTTTCTCACACCCATAGCGGGACACAACGCGTAAAAATACAGTATAAGTCATTATAATCAGCATATGTCCCCAATGAAATAAAACCTTACCAATCTGATACGATCTGGTCCAGTCGGGCAGGCAAAGTTGATCGATTGAAAAGGTAGTACTGACATTATCAGCTGTCATTATTGCTTTGGGAGCTGATGTTCCAAATCTGGTATGGGTCGTCACTTTTCCGTCACACGCTTAAGGTTTTTGGGCCAATAACAATGCACTGAATCGCTGGCCAATCAGAGCACACCACGCTTTTCAGAACGAGTTTTGTAAAAATATATATATATATTTTTTAAAAACCACGTAAACATATTGCATTAAACCAAATACACAAAATAATGTTCTTTTTTTAACCATCATATGACCCCTTTAACAACAGTTGCATGTAAAAACTGTTGTTTTTTTTATGGAGAAAAAAAAAAAAAAAATGTGGTCTTTACATTAATAATAACATTTAAATTGGACAGTAGTTAGAGCTTTGAAGTGTGAAGCACTTGAAAGTCCTTGAAAAGTGCTTGAATTTCATCTCAAAAGGTTTTACGAACCCTGAAATGAATAATGTAAAAAAACATTCGACTATTTCTACCACAATACCATGGTTACAGTTAGTATTACTACCTTAAATCCATGGTGAATGTTGGTAATTTTTGTACTGAAAAGCCTAGAATAGAACCATGGATAGAACCAAATCTCTGTCCCACTTTTTTCTTTTTTCGATAATCTGTTATAATATAGATCTATCGCTACTTCTGTTTCATTGCGTTAAATAGATGTTCTAGCACCTTTGGTTATATTTGTACTGTTTTGCTGCTTATTCTTTTTTTTATCCCCTGAAAGTGTCTGGGCATCACTCACCTACTGTGAATGGGACTTATTGAGTTCCAATAGTTCATTTAGTGAATGTATAAAGTTAGTTCCCCTCCCCACAGTTATAATTCACTACAAGAGAAATGTGATATTGCCCATATAATGGCAGGGCTAAATGAAAATGTAAATTCACTTTCTGACAGTAGGTGGTACTTATTGAAAAGCAGGAATACAGCAGTTACCCCTGTACATAATCCATCCTATCAAATTTCAGATCTTTGACTTAAAGTTTGATGCCCAGGCAAATCCATTTGTTGCAGATTTCACTTGGTGTCATACTTTTTATCTAATGGATTCCACACATTTTCTTTTTAGAACGGTTTCAGTTTTTTGTAGGGCTGTCAAATGATTAATCGCGATTAATCGCATCCAAAATAAAAGTTTGTGTTTACATAATATATGTGTGTGTAGTGTGTATAATAATTTTTGTATATATAAATACACACACATGCATGTATATATTTAAGAAATATTTGCATGTATATATTTTATATATATTTATACATAATTAATATTATATATAAATATAAATATTTTATATATTAATAACACATTTTTCTTAAATATATACATGCATGTGTGTGTATTTATATATACAAAATAATTATACACACTACACACACATATATTATGTAAACACAAACTTTTATTTTGGATGCGATTAATCGTGATTAATCGTTTGACAGCCCTAGTTTTTTGTTTTGTTATTGGACCCATTGAATTAGTTTAATTTATCTATAAAATGTTTTTTTTTTTTACATGTATTGATTATTCATGACACAAAGCATTGATTAACCTGTGTTCTGTGGCAGGGAAGCACGCGTAGTATGGCCTTTCTGATGCTGGATAAGGTGCAGGCCCCAGAGCTGATTCCTGCAGTTATTGAGAGCAGCGTCGAACCTTATGCTCTTGAGAACGGATTGGACCTGGACCAGACCCTCTTACACTATATCAAGGTCGCCTTTATTTTTCAATAATTAGGAAAATGGTCATTTATAGTATTATTTTTTAGATATACTCTTGTTTCACCAAAGTTTTATATTAACATGTTTTTTGCTGTGTTAAGCATTGTAGCCAATCTCAGACATGTGATGCTTTGCAGAAGGCCCTGTCGAGGCCACTAGACAGCACTCAACTGTAAAAACACTCTATATTATAATCAGTAGTAGTCATATAAGGTCATGTATTGTGCGCATACATTCTGGATTCTGTTTTGTGAGGGAACAAAGTCGAACAAAAACTGATAATTATATCATACAAATGTAAAAAATTAATTAATAATAATAATGTAAAATTATGTAAAAAATAAAAACAATCAGAATAAATCACTTACTAAAAAATATTTTGTTTACCTGTATAATGGTTGACAATTAATCAACATAATCAACAGACAACCATGTAAAATTATTGAAATATAAGATTAATATCAGGTTTGAGTACCGTATTTTCCGCACTATAAGGCGCACTTAAAAGCCTTTAATTTTCTCAAAAAACGACAGTGCGCCTTATAATGCGGAGCGCCTTATATATGGATGGTGAACACACGTTCACCAAGACGAGGAGACAGCGCCGGGCGACTTACGCCACTATCTGCCAATGGATCGTGGATGCCTGGGCTGATATATCAGTCTCAACTGTGATCCGAGCTTTCACGAAGGCAGGAATAATCTCTTTATTCAGCCAGCTCACATACCCGTATTTACTTACTGTTTTCGGCCGAAGACCACAGTAGTTGATTGTCGAGTTCGCCAATTAACACATTGTGTAATGTGTAATGACACATTAAGGTTGTTAAGAGGCTAAAAGCAGGTTTAAAACTTGTCCCGTTTAAGTCAACAGGGTGCACATTTTAAAAAGAGGATAACACGGTGTAGGCAACACCGGTTTTTGTCATTGTTATCTGTACTGACAGCACTCCAAATTTACAAAAAATGAGCTCAATATTAAAATTGACCGGAGTTTTCCTTTATCGTTTGAACAACGTTACCATGGGAGTGAACGGAGTTGTCAGAACGCTTAATAAAGTTTGACTTTATCGGACTGTTTTGTTGACATTTCTTGACATCTAGTGGATGCATAACGCAAACCCAGTCAAACGTTTGACTGCAGTATCTTATGCGCCTTATAATCCGGTGCGCCCTATATATGAAAAATGTTCTAAAATAGGTCATTCATTGAAGGTGCGCCTTATAATCCGGTGCGCCGTATAGTGCGGAAAATACGGTAAATATTTGAAATCAATTTGGCTGACAAAAAAAAGTTTGTGAATCCTTAATTATATGATTGGCTTTATATTCCTAATGTTTCATCTCATTTTGGTAGTTTTAATGTTTTAAACATTTAACGTTTTTTTCTCAAGTAAATTATCAATTTTACATGGAAAATCTTAATGTTGATCACTGTCGAATTTTGTCACGGTGGGCAAGTGATGTAACCGGTGTTGTGGCTGAACACCCGTAACACAGACTATCGCAGCAAGCCTAAAAGGGTACGTGAATGTCCTGTGTCAGTCACTGTAAAGGTGTACTTTAACAGAGCCAGGTGGAGCGGCACACAAATAGCTTGAACGTGTAAGGCTATGCACAATAACCAAGGAAAAATATTAGCGAAGCCTCAGGAAGTAAAATAAAATGCTGCATTATTTTGTGTTAAGCAGCCAAAATTAATCACATGAATAAAAAAAAAAAATTCCAGTCCTAGTTGATGTATTTATATTTATTATACATATATTAATTAAACATTTTAATGTCAAGGTGTAATTAATTTGGGTATTGGTTCCTGAAAACTTCTCGTTGTAGCAGCCTTGTGTCTTGTGCAGGAAAATATGACTCTCAATCTGCTCATAAAAATGTATGAACAATGATAAAGCAATTTTTTTTTTTTTATCAAGTCCCTAATATATTTGTATACAATGTACACAGACATCAGTGGTCTATTAGTCTACCTTTTGGGACTGGTAATTTTTAATGAACTGTTATTATAATAAAATAGTTTTAATTTATTGTGCTATCAGTTTATGTTTTGATGTGTTTAAATTTTAGGACCTGCTAGACTGTTGCAGCTCTCAAATCACCTCTCTCTTCACTGAATGGGAGGCCAAAGCCGTGGCTGTACTACACTGCATGACAGACACTAATGTAAGATCTGTTCACACATCTAACACGGTATTCTGTTACACAATATCAGATTTATATAAATTATTTATTTATTAACAATTAGTGATGCAATTAGTGAAAATTCTTTACTCACGGTAGGGATCGGCATATACTATCGATACTATTAATACTGGTGTTGTATAGAGAGGATCGATCCTCACAAAAATATTGATAGTGTTTGACTAGGAACTTTATGAAATATTTAGTGAAAATAATGGCAAAGAAAAAAGAGAGGAGAAGAGAAAAGTCACAGAGAGCAGTCATATGGAGTTCTCTTTCTTATCTTACGATGGGAATGGTTCTTAACTTGTCCTTAGACAAGCCGTAAAGGTATGTCGCCAAAATGAGCTGTTTTTGATAGCGTGCATATTCACTACTATAGTGAATATTATTTGTGCTAGGGATAAACTAGAGAACATGTTACAGTGAATTCTCTTTCTAACTGTACTAGTATGGCGACTGCTAGTTCTTCGAGCGGTGGAGCGAGGGGAAAAGAAGCCTCTAACCTATGTGTGTGTGGATGAATATTAGGAAGGCGGGACTCCCGCATCACTGTCGTGACTCGGTATTGGTCTGTCAAATGTGATATTGGTGCTTCCAGGATTGGTCAAATTGGCTTTCAAATATAATTACTCATTTTGACTAAAATTTATGTATGTATGTGTAGGCTATATCTAGAGCTGTCAATTCTAATCGCATGAGAACTAGAGACTGCTGGGGATACAGCAAAGTTGAGTAGGGTTTCCTAAATGCTGTCAGTGTGAAGGCCTACTGTCAAATTTACTTTAACTTCCTGTTTTTAATCACAGTAGATTCTGTTGGCAAAAGATTGTCTTTTTACATGTTTTAGAAGGTGATGGATGCTGTGATTGAAATAATGTACAAGGCCGTGGTGCCCTGGAGTGAAACCATCGAGAAACTTGTTCAGCAGCACTTGGAGAAGGAACATCCAAAGTGAGTGGTGTGGTAAAACATAAAAATTTCATTTTTTTATTTTTATTTTTTATCTATAAGCTCTTTTACATGACTTCACTGTAGAGTGAGGCTTCAATGCCTGCTCCGGTGGCACATGTTAACCGCACTCAGAGTTTATTCTATTTCAACTCATACTTTTTTAGGGTAGCTTTTATTTTATTTATTTGATTACTTGAACTAGTTTTTATACCATTTACTTATGGAACTCTTTTGATCATTTTATCTTTGTATTGTATATTTGAATGTACTTCTCTTTTTTGAATGCTTTTCTTTTATAATGTTGTATTTCTCTTTTGGTTTTTTTGTGAAGCGCTTTGAGATGTAACTTTTAAAGGCGCTATATAGAAAATAAACTCATCTGCATTTTACTTTTTAAAAAATACAGCACATAATTATTGACTCATGCACTTTAAAAGTTTGATTTCAGTTGGACTAACGTAATAATTTGACTTTTTTTAAAATGTAATGTAAACACTTTAGTCTGACTGATCTCATACTAGTCTGATTTTTGGGAAGACCTGGGTGATGAAATTGTAGCTTGACTCCATCCAGAATTTATACATATTAATCGGACATATTAATAGAGTATTTGTGACCTCAGACTTTACAACTGGATAACTTATTCCTGTGTGTTTGCAACATATAGCTGCAGTACTTCAAATTCAGTTAGCACTATTTGTAAGTATTTTCATATCTACAGACAGGAGTTACTGAGAGAGGGTTACAGATTGATGGAAATAAAGAAGCTTCTCAGATGCTATGGCATCCGCACCTTAGCCCTCTCTAACTCTCGTGATATCATGGTAAGTTTGTCTTCATTAACTTAAGTCCTATTATGTGTGTTCATTTAACAATTTTACTATTCCTTACTTTCTTAAAGATGTAAAGGTTTTGACCATTGTATCAGCCACTCTGTTCCTGCAAGTACCTGATATTTCACTGTTGTTTGCTTTGTTTAGATGCTTGTGAGGCACATTCTGAAGCAGGACCTGCCCACCTCTCTCGAGGACTCACTGAAGTTGATTGAGGCCTATAAACTAAACCCAGCAGAGATCCACCATCTTCACTGCATCCAGCTTATACAGTGTAATAAGGTATGACTTCCACAGAATTGGGACTTGGCGGTATATAGGTAACAACATGATGGACCCTCACATTTCTTCTTAGAGGCAGAACTCATAAATGGGTACCTTCAAATGAGGGACTACAGCAAACATCATTATTGCATTTCCTTTTGCTCATATAATAAAGAAAAATCCTAGATAGCATTTCCATGACTTTCCAAAAGAGAAGAAAATATATAGAGATGAATTACGCCCATCAGAAGAGAGAAAGATGTCAATTTTACCATTACTCCCTCAGCCGTTGTATTATAAACACATTTGCAGGGTAGTATATCACAAAAAATAACTGTAACACATCATTACAGTCTGTCCACTTGTCTTTTTAACCTTTTCTCAACTTTTAGTTATTCATTTTGCGCTAAATTAAACCATCAAAAGTCCCGCAGGGCTTCCGGTGGCGCAAGAGAGCGAGATGGACGTGTAACGGTTTGCTCCCCACAGTCGTTTAAAAAAATACCTCCTAGCACTAGAAAAAGCAGTGAAATAAACTAAACTCGAGTATGAAAGGAGGAAGAATGCAAAGAAGTCATAAGATCGACAAGAAGATGAGCAAAAATCAAGTAAACTCGGATGTGGATGTGGATACCGGGCCTGACGAAGATGGCGGTGAAGGAACAGCCTCAGGTAACGCTTCTGAAGCTAAAGTTACTGTTAACCAAAACACTCTGCTCGAAAGCCTGGCGCTTCTATCCAAAGAACTGAAGGACTTCAAGCAAGTTGTGAGACAGGACCTGAGTGATTTTAAAAATGATGTCATGAAAACTATGAAGGATGACCTCGTTGAATTCAAAACCGAAGTTTTGCGAGAGGTGCAGAGCCAAAACGCCAATATCATAGAGGCTCAAACACGAATAGCGGACCTGGAATTAGCCTGCTTAGAAATGAAAGATACGCTGATAACAGTCGTGAAACAAAACTCGGAGATGCAGGACAAGCTAGTGGATTTGGAGAGTCGCTCTAGAAGAAATAATATTCGAATTTATGGAGTACCGGAAGAAAAAGAAGGCAAATCGGTCACTGACTTTGTAAGTGAACTATTCAAAACCCACCTCGAACTGCCAGCTGAAGTTGAGCTCCAAGTCCAACGGGCACATAGAGCGCTCGTTTCGAAACCGGCAACAACCGCACCACCGCGATCAATAATAGTGAACTTTTTACAATTCTGTACCAAAGAGATGGTTCTTCAGAAAGCATGGCAGAAGAAGGTTGAAATCGATGGCAAGCGAGTTTACTTTGACAACGACTATGCAGCTGATATCGTCGAAAAACGCAAAGCATATGGGCCAATCAAAGCTGCCCTGAAGGAGAGGGGGATCCGATTCCAGACACCCTACACGAGGATGCGAGTACACTGGGACTCCGGGCTACGGATCTACGGGAGTGCGGATGAAGCAGCTCAGGATTTGATTAAACGTGGATTTCAGATAAAGATTACCGCATCGAAGAGGAACGCTGCAAGAGCTGTTGAGGAACGTCTGAATGAACTGTTGCCATGGAAACGCATCAACACTTCGGACAGAGCAGCTCAACGTGCAAGAGAGAGGCTTACAGAGTTTAGAAGAGACCTGCCACTACATAGTTAATGAGATAACTATGGCCCAGAGGAAGAATAAATGAGGCTAACTTTACAAGTATTAGTAGCAAAATAGCCTACGCATTAAATTTTTTTTTTGATTCACGACAGGTTTCTCAGGCAGGCTAGCATGGGCCTACCTATGGATACTCCCTTCTGTTTATTTTCGACTCTATTTCCATTTTAACAGTCCGCAATAAAAAATTAATAAATAAGAATAGGCTAATAATAATAATAAAATTAAAAAAAGTCTTGTGACTTAATCCAAATAGTTCATGAAACTGACTGAGGAGCTTTCTTAAACGCTTAATGTTGGACATTTCTAGTGAAAATGAGTATTTCCTCATTACTAGGGAGGGCCCCTACGAAAATGAGGCACCTTTCCCTCCTCCCACCAACAGGGACCATGAAGGATGGGGAAATCCATCCTTGTTTTCGGAAGGCACAAAGTTCTATGTTCAATTGATGTTCAATGTTTTTTTTACTTTTGTTATGTTGAACTCTGGATTACAACTTTTCATCCATGGGAATGATATTACGTGAATGAATAACATAAAGATACTGTCGTGGAATGTTAATGGTCTTAATAATCCCATTAAAAGACGGAAGGTAATGACCAGGTTAAAACAGCACAAATCTCAAATTATATATCTACAAGAAACACATTTGTCTGGGCAGGAATGCGAGAAACTTAAGAGGTTTGGTTATAACAATACATTTTATAGTTATTTCCGTCATGGGTGTAGAAGAGGGGTGACTATACTAATTTCAGATTCAGTTAAATTTGAATGTTCTAAAGTGATTAACGATAAGGAAGGAAGATTTATTATTGTAAAAGGAAAGTTAGAAAATGAAAAAGTGACACTGGTTAATGTTTATGCCCCTCCCAACAGTGGAAAACATTTCATCAAAACTCTGCTCGACAACATTATTCTGGAAACAGATGGCATTTTGATATGTGGGGGCGATTTTAATATTGTGTTGAATGATAAACTAGATACAACAAACAAAAACAAAAAATGCAACCACATTACTAAAATAATCAAAACTACATTTAAAGAATTTGGTATAGTGGACCTTTGGAGGGAATTTCACCCCCTTAAAAAGGATTACACGCATTACTCGGCCCCTAATGATAGCTACTCCAGAATTGACTATCTATTTATGAATAAAAATGAGTTGTACCGAGTACAGGAGTGTGAAATTGAAGGTGCAGACATATCAGATCACTGTGCAGTTTACATAAAACTCCAGTTGAAAACACAAGAGAAAAGTAAATTATGGAGACTAAATGTTGGAATTCTGAATCATAAAAAAATAGCTGAAGAGATTAAAGAGGAGATTAAACTATATCTAGCTGTAAATGACAATGGAGAGGTTAGCCCTGTCATTCTGTGGGATGCCCTTAAAGCAGTCCTGAGAGGGAAAATTATAGCTAAGACAGTGTCTATTAAAAAAGCTAGAGAAGAAGCATTTAAGAGAGAAAAGGAGAAACTATCTGAAATTGAACAGCTACATAAGAGCACACGCGATTCCTCATTATTACCTCAAATTAAAGAAGCTAGGGATAATATTGATAAAATGTTAAGTATAGAAACTGAAAAGAAGATTCGATTTTTAAAACAATCATATTATGAAGTGGGACCAAGGGCTACCAGATTACTAGCAAAAAGATTAAAAAAGCAACAGGCTGATAGAACAATTCACAAAATACGAGATGTAGACACAAACCAGATGACATATGAACCCAAAGAGATTGAATCTAATTTTAGGAACTACTATAAAAATCTGTACAGCCAACCTCCATCACCCACTACTGACCAAATGAGAATGTTTCTAGAGAATCTTGACTTACCAGCAATTGGGAAAAAACAAAATGACCTTTTGACCTCACCCATTACAGTATCAGAAATAGAGAAAGCAGTCAGTAGATTAAAAGCGAAAAAATCCCCGGGTAGTGATGGCCTACCAGCTGAATGGTACAAAACATTCAGGGAGCAACTTATACCATTACTTATGTCATCATTTAATTATACACTTGACCATGGCAAACTACCACCATCCTGGAAGGAAGCAGTAATAACAGTGATCCCTAAGGGGATTAACAAGGATACCTGCTCAGGCTACAGACCGATTTCTATACTTAATGTAGATTATAAATTATACACCTCAATTTTGAACAAGAGATTTGAACAATTTATGAACGACATCATAGATGAGGATCAAACGGGTTTTATTAAGGGGCGCCAAACCCATGACAATATAAGGAGAACCCTACATATTATTGAACACGTTAAGCAAAACAATACCAGTGCAGCCTTGATAAGTCTTGATGCAGAGAAGGCATTTGACTGTGTTAATTGGGCATTTCTATATCAGACACTTGAAAAATTTGGATTGAACAAGAAGGCTGTTCAATGTATTAAGACACTTTATCAAAAGCCGACTGCTAGGATAAAAATTAATGGGAGTCTAACTGAGAGTATACAGTTAGAAAGATCTACCAGACAAGGTTGCTGCCTATCACCAACACTGTTCGCATGTTTTATAGAGCCCCTGGCGCAAGCAATTAGGCAGAATACAGATTTGAGAGGGATAAGGGTTGGGGATGAAGACCACATCATTGGTCTTTTTGCTGATGATGTGATCTGCTATTTAGGAGACCCAGACGCATGCCTTCCAATATTAATTAATCAACTCGAGGCGTTCGGTGTCTATTCAGGTTATAAGTTAAACTTTGCCAAAACACAGATCTTAACATTGAACTATCTACCATCCAAAAATATACAACAAAAATACAATCTCAATTGGAATGCAAATACAATGAAATACCTTGGGGTTACCTTAACAAGAGGAATGGATGATCTATATGAGACCAACTATGTTAAAGTGGATAAATCCATTAGAAATGATGTAGAGAGGTGGAATGTCCTTTCTCTGGACTTTAGTTCCCGGATAGAGACTATAAAAATGAGCTTCCTCCCTCGACTCCTCTACCTCTTCCAATCACTCCCTATTGAGATACCGGAGAATCAATTTAGAACGTGGGATAAAGTTATCTCTAGGTTTATATGGAATGGTCAAAGGCCAAGAATCAAATATGAAACTTTACAGCTTGGAAAACATGAAGGAGGTATGGCGCTCCCAAATCTTAAGGAATATTTTCATGCAGCACAACTTAGACCTTTAGTCTGCTGGTGTGCTAAGGATTACGAGGCTAAATGGAAAAACCTAGAGCAGTATGTACAAGGGAGGGAAATTCAAAGTCTTATTGGGGATGAAGGGGAAGCTAAGGATTTATTTAAACAGATAGATGCTATCACCCAGTTTTCATTAAAATTGTGGTTCAGCATAATACGAAAATATAAATTAGAGGCCGATCTCCCTCTACTTAGATGGATAGCTTATGACAGACACTTCACCCCGAATACTCTTGACCAGAGATTCCAGCAATGGAGACTGAATGGAATAACAGCACTGTGTACAGTAATGAAGGACGGGAATTTTATGAGTTTTGAAGAGATGAAACAAAACTTTACATTATACAATCAGGATCATTTCAGATACTTACAATTAAGGGATTTTTATATGAAGGAAGTAAAACCAAAAGTAAATCTGGGGGAAAACGGTATAATTAGAACTATAATAGGAATATACAACTCAAGGAAATACAGAATAATATCTACATTATACCAGCAACTGATGGAGAGGAAGGGAAATACAACGTCATATGTCAAGCAGAAGTGGGAAAAAGAGCTAGGTATGAATATATCTGAAGAAGACTGGTTACATATATGGAATACACAACAATCTACCACATCGTCTCGTATATGGAGGGAATTCTGTTGGAAAAATGTAATACGATTTTTCATTACACCTAAAATTAAGAGCAAATTTTTGTCAGTACCACAACCATGTTGGAGACAGTGTGGAGCGGTAAATGTAAACCATTCACATGTCTTTTGGCTCTGTCCTGTTATTACACAGTTTTGGGAGGATGTCCACTTGGTTATTGTTGAAATCTTGGGTTATGATATACCCAAGTCATGTTCAGTGCTGTATTTTGGTAATATGGAAAGAAACATTGTGTCAAGAGAAGATCGATACCTGTTTAAAATTTTGTTAGCAGCATGTAAAAAGGCCATTACGAAAAGATGGTACAAGCCGGACCCCCCAACACGAGATGAATGGCTGAAACTAGTGTCTGAAATAAGTGTAATGGAATGGTTGACTCATAAGATAAGAGTTCAAGAGGATCAATGCGCAAATAATTGGGGAAAATGGACTGTATTTACATCCCAACGACAAGAAGAGGTCTGAAGTTGATGTATCTCATTCACTAAATTGTAATGTTTAGGTGATCCAGATTGTTCCCTTTTTTTTTTTTTTTTTTTTTTTTTTTCGTTGGTTTGTGTTTGTTTGTTTTACTAATTATAATTTTTGTATATATGTGATGAAACTATAAAAAATAAAGTATAAAAAAAAAAAGTCCCGCAGAGACCACTTGAGTGATAATACAAGCTAAATAAATGAACTGACTCAGCAAATATTTTAATGATCAATGCAGAAGAACTGATTCAAGAAAACATTCAGTCAAAACGCAGCGCTATAGCGCATTCTACAGGCTAGCAGTATCAGAGCAGTTCACAGTCAATGAAAACCACTCATTTATGCCAAGCGATTGCTTACGATCTACTGTTGATGAATTGACAATATTTACTTTATGATGTTTGTATTGTAATGTTTTGGATTGTTCTAAGAGTGCATATTTTATCTCCCTTGTATGTTTAAGTGAGGAGCTGGAAAGTAGTTAAGGCATTTCAAAATAAGAGTTTGAGTGTATTTCAGGCTTATTTATAATTAAATGTCCTGGATTATACAGAGCATGTTTTTTTTTTTTTTTGGTTATAATTGGTGTTTCGGGTTACAAAATAAAGTGTATCTGGCATATACTTTAATATTTAGAATATACATAATTCCTTAATTATTAAATAAACAATATTTGAAGCAGAAACATTTAAAAACCTAGTTAAATAATAATAATAATAATAAATTAATAATTTTGCTTGTAAATGTCTCCTTGTATCCCTTTATTAAGGAAAAACTGATTATTGGATATATTTTTAATATGCCCGTAAATTTGCTCCAGAATTTCTCAAATTACCCGAGGCTACTAATATCAGACCTGACCCATGCCTGAGGCACTTTTCGGGTTTTCGAATCGAAGTGGACCAATGAAGACCTGTAATGAAACCACTGCAATATCCAACAAATTCATATTCAGTATTGTAAAAATATATATCTCCTAGACTTAATCAGCAGTTACAACATGTTAAGAAAGTAATTTTAATTCAGATAGGAATCAAGGGTGATATATTTGGACATTGTATTCACAGAGGGAGAAGTGCATTGCGCTGCTGAAGAATCTGCCCCATTCTGAAGCAGAATTTGTGATTGAGCGAATGGCCTGTTGGGCAAGACTTGAACTTCAAGACAAGCGACACATTTCTGAAGAGGTCTGAATTTGTTTTTGAATGTGGTGTTAATTGGTTAAAAATAAGAAATTATATTTTGCATAAAGACTATAGATTTATATTGACAATGTTTTAATGGAAAAAAAAAATCTTAAAACTAAAGTAGGATTAGTTTTCTATATGAAAAGTTTTTGCATTGTTATTGTTAAACACATTTGAATATGTTCATCTATGTAAGCAAAATTGATATATATTCTGAATTAAATGTATTTTCTTTCAATAGCAGAAGAGATTACAATTGCTAATATCACAGATTATGGTTGAAGCTTTGAAGTACCTGCAGAGCATTCAGACAGGTGAGTGCACAACCAAGTATTTACTGGTTTCCGATGTCTAATAATGAGGTTTTAAAAGGATAGGTCACCACAAAGAATTTACATTTTCGCCCCTACCCCCCTTTGAACCCAAACCCCAGAAATTAAAATATACCCAAATTAAAAGTACCCAAATTAAAATATAGTTTATGAAGCCCTTGGACTAGAAGCATAATTGTGGTCTCATTTGAAAGACAGTTGGCAGTTTGTTTTATTAAGACTCATAATTACAGTCACAAAGAAAAAATAGTTATAAAGGCTTAAATGTTACATTTTTATCAAATAATTTTCATTACATATTTTGTCAATTTATTTTAAATTGGCCTTGTTGCAGTCTAGAAACCCAGTGCAAGTTTGACCATGTTCCATTTGAAATAAACATCAGCTATGAGAATTTGTGAGATTAAACCATGTTTTTTTTCCCCCTCTCCATTATCACTGTGAAACATCAGTTTAGAGTTTAAAATAACTTCCCTTTGTTGTCTCAGGTGGTTTCTTGTAGATTTATAGGTTTTTCCTCAGTGGATGCATAAGAGGCTTGTTAAAGGCATTGATGGCATTTTTTTATTCTATAAAACGGATAGTTCCGGTCCTTGATTCTGATTGGTTGAGCTGCGTTTGAAGCCGTTGTAAATTACTCAACAAACATACACCTGTGACCGCATTACATTAATATTACTGCACAACTGGTGATTCTTTGTTGCTGCATGTGTTGCTTGGAAACCTCTTTGGAACTACATTGCTTGGCGGAGGAATAAATGTGTTATAACTAGTGCTGTCAAACGATCAAAATATTTAATCACATTAATGGCATAGTTAACTCACGATTAATCGCAATTAATCGCACATTTTTATCTATTCTAAATGTCTCTTGATTTCTTTTTGTCCCATTCTTTTTTTCTAATTTTAATGCTCTTATCAACATGGAAAAGTGGATCGGCTTGCTTTGTGCAAATGTTTTTTGTTTTATTGAAAACAACATTGACAATACTGTGTTCAATTTCACACTAACATTCTCACTTGGAGCAAATAATCTCACACAATGTAACACTGTCCATCAATAAAAGGGTGAAAGAAATACTGACGAGGTCCTGATATTGACGAGGGGCGGGGCAGGGCGGAGAATTCGCATCAGCTGTGTGTGTGTGTGTGTGTGTGTGCTTGGCCATCATCAAGCGGTATTTCAGACTGGACGTGCTGCTATGATGATAGCTCAGTTCACAACGACAAAACACACAGATCACTTTGGTCTTGTCAATGGGACCATTTGGCAACTTTTTAAAAGTAAACTTTCCATTCAGAATCTTATTAGCATCCATTTCGGCGTCTCGCGCTCGTCGTCCACTCAAAATGTAACGTTAACCTACTATTTGGCCAGCTCGCAAGCCTAAACAAGTGTGTGCGGCGTGCCTGTTGTTTTGTTTCCGGTCTAGCTAGATCCGCTTGCGCTTTCAAAACGTCCTCGCGCGGCGCAAGCCATTTAAATGAATGGGTTTCATAGCGCAGCGCCGCGCATGCCGCGTCCTGTTGCAAAAGCATGTGAAAAAAAACTACAAAGTTTGCTAGGCCAAAAAGATTGTTAATCGCGCGATAAAAAAATTAACACTATTAAAATGGGTTTGCGTTAACGCCGTTAATAACGCGTTTAACTGACAGCCCTAGTTATAACGTTATATTTTTTGTTGCTGGTGTTTATTTTATGAATAAAATAAATATTAAAATGAATATTTTATGGAGTAACCGTTTTATAAAAGCAATAAGCCCCTTGAAGCCGTTTTTTACAGTGAATTTAGAACAGCTAAGGGTTTTTTTTACAGCGGCCCTTTGCTGTTCTAGATTCACTGTAAAACACGGCTTCAAGGGGCTTATTGCTTTATTATATACCTCATATAACAAATGTAAAAAAAAAAATTCTGTCACTATATGATTTATATGATATATATATATATATATATATATATTTATTATAAGACATCAGGCCTTTCTAATTTAATAAAAATAATTAAGACTTATGCAGTAAATATAGTAAAACAGAAAGGGATTACTGAACAAACAATACTCATTTTGACTGGAAGAGAAGTGTGTACATGAGGTCAAAATCTGCAAAATTTTAAATATTTTAATCGACTGATAGTACTACTACGAGCATAATCAATTTAATAAAAAAAAATCATGAACTAGATTGATTGTTTTAAGACAGTTAAAGTTTCCTGTCCTTTCTTCTTGTAGATGATGCGTTCAAGAAGACTGAATGTGGGAACAGTCTGAACATGTTCACAGCCATGTCTCATCTACAGGTCTTTATTTGTTCATAATAGATTTGAGGCATTTAATGCCATATTGGACATACATTTGCAAATGGGTATGTTTATTTTAAAATGTTTTTGACTTTAGGAAGACTTTGACATCTTCTTAACACCAGAAGAATATGAGGATCCTTTAGTGAGACATAAGTTCAACCAGCAGCTCATCACCGCATATGAGAATGCACAAGCATGGCGGCGCTCAGGAAAACACCCTGACAAGGTTTCAAGTAGTCACCTGAATGGTAATGCTGCAGTAGCCAATGACCCTGATGGTAAAACGAAGACACTCTCAACTGAAGCTGGGCTACACCGGCTGGCCAGGCAGCTGCAAAAGACAGAGCAGGAACTGTGGGCAGACCTGGCACTGAGAGCTCTGGATGCTGGAGATGTGGAGAAAGCCCTGCAGATCCTAAGGTAGGGGAGAAGGGAATGATGGGTGGGTATTTAAGGATCTAAATGCTGTGAAAAAGTATAAACATTTGGAATAGGCAGTTATTTCTCACATTTTAAAAATAATAGGCCTATTACCAAGCATTCTTTTCAATCTACAGTCTAATAAAAGTTCATCAGAAAAATAATACAACCGCACCTGATTTTTTTATATTGATTGATCAAGTGATCCAAAAAGTCTATAACAAAGTACAAAACAAAGTGGTAGTTGTTAATAAAAAATAATTTTAGTATGCATAGCCTACAATTTAATTATATCAAATGTGTGGATGAGGAAAATATAGCGTCTTGAAAACCTCTGCGTCTCATCAAAAAATAAAAATGTTGCGGCTCTGTCAAATGAAGGAAGGGCGTTTTGAGTTTCCAATGCTGACAAAATAAAGGTAAAATACACAAATAACCTGTTACTTCTTTATCTAAATACAATACAACCAGACAAGCTGCTCCACTTCACTGTCCGCTTCTAATATTTCCTAATTTTATAATATTATCTGTGTAAATAGTAAGCCATAAAGTAGCTAATTTCAATGGTCTCATTACTCTCTACATTTTACAAATATTGAGATGCGAACGATAAAAATACAATTTGTGATATGCGCAAAATTATGTTTGTAAACTGCTCAAGTCAAATCACCTTTATTTAGGGCTTTATACAATACAGATTGTTTCAAAGTAGCTTTACAGTGATAACAGGAAAAAGATTCAGTGATGCACACTTTCTCACTCGAAAAGCAAGCACATTTCGGCAAATGGACAATTTGATGAGAGAGTATAAAAAATATATTCATTTATGTTAAGATGAACAAAAGTCTTGATTTTGGAATAACTAGAGGGTGAGTATATGATGACAGAACGTTCATTTGTGGGTGAACGTTCCATTTAACTTCTAATATCTTTTCTCATACCTTTTTTTTTCACCTCATATAGTGAGCTATACCAGCATCACTCCAACTGCAGCACAGGACGAGTTCTGTTCAGCACTGCGCAGCGCCTCTGCCAGATGCTGGAGGAAAACGTCCCCATGGTTCTACCTGAAAAGGTTAACCTGCCTGCTGTCATCCATAGGCTGGCCTGCCAGGCCATTACAGTCTGCCACAGTGGTACTGAAACACTTCACCATTCATATTCTCTTAACGTATATATCACTTGAGTTCTCAATCAGTCAGCTCATCTATTTATCACTCATTTGTCCTCTACACCAACTTCAAAAAGTACATGTATTTTCCCTTTCACAGACCTCTTGCTTGACTGTTTGGAGCTGTGTAAAAGCACCAGAAGTGCTGCAGATGTGTACAGACAATGTCAGATTGAAGATTTTGGATTTTTACCTAAGGTACGCTTGCTAAACATTGTCTGTTTATGTATACACACACGTGAGTGTTGACAGCACCCCAATATATTCCATCAAGCTGTCATCACTGGAAGCATCAGTGTCAAGCCTTTAGTTGACAAATGCTATCTTCATCTGGAGTGATATTCAAGCCACTTTGCTTTCCCCATACACTAAAAATATATAGAATAAGAATATATGTAAATTCAGTGTTTCCTACTGAATTTTGTGAGACTGTTGGGTGGAGACTGAAAGGTTGCAAGTTCGTTCCTGTGTGGTGCAACATTCATTTTTTATATTTCAAAAGCTGCAATTTAAACATGGATGTGTAGACTTTTATTATATACCCACTGTATATATTTCTTTTCAGGAATCTGCACTGAGTGGTGAAGAGGACACTTACACTGATTCCCATTTTCATGATGTCTTTAATGAGGACTGCATTGTGCTAGATCCCGTCTCAGTGCTTCCACTCCAGTATAAAATCACCAGAAATTTGTTACCACTTTCAGGTAAGAGTTTGCTGTTACTGGTGTGATTAATGCAAACTAGTGCCTTGATATGAATGATGGTTTTAAAATTTTAATATGGGAATTGTTGAAGTGTAGGGCTGGAATTGATATTTGAAATTCATTGAATTAAGAAACAGTTTTTGTTTATTCCTTCCTTTATGAACATGTATTAATTTGTTCCTATGATTGAACTAAAACGTAATGATTTAAACATAAAACTGTCCTTTATTCTAGAATCGAGACTTTATCCTTTTGGCTGTTCCTGCCTGTCATACTGTGCTCTCAAAGAAGGTAAGAGCATCATATTATTGCTTTGACTAGTATGCTGTGAGACTGTTTATACTATGCTTAATCCCAAGGTAAGGTCTTAAAAGACAAGTTTATCATTTAATGGTCGGCAAAATTCTGTCGGCAGATGCAAAATGTTGGCTGTCAAAAGTCTTTTGCTTGACAACCTGGAGAAAGAACATTGTTCATTAACATATATTCTGACATTGTAACAATCCAAAGCTGGTTGAACATCAGCGAATGTGTACATAAGCAGAGAAGGACAGTCCAATTACTGTCCAAGAGTTTGGTAGAGCACCAACTCTTGCTTTTTCCCCACCAGTGAGGTCAAATTCTAAAGTACCAGATGCCAATTTCCGCATCCAAGGTTCAGTTTGCACGGACCTATCTGTTCTCTTCACCTGCCAGTCTTTGTTCATCCCACTGGTCCCCTATTTAGGGCCCTATAAAATCCGTTTTATTTTTTCCCAAATTCCGTTAGATTTTTTCCCAAATTCCGTTTTTTCCGTTTTAATTTTTGCAAATTCCGTTTTTTCCATTTACATTTTTGGGAATTCATTTTTTTTACCCTTTACTGTTATTTTAGTTGTAAAAAGAGTGTGCTTTTAATGTTAATGATTAAAATGTACACAAATAAAATAGGAATGACCTTAAATTTATTGAGGTAACAGACATTTAATCTTACTTTTCAGCACAAATACTGCACGATGCAACATAACACTGCACTCTAAGTACTTCAAGTAACAACAAAATATGGTTATGAGCTTTAAACTGTCCAGTAAAATAAATTATCTATAAGTTGAAATAAAAGTCACACTCGGTCTCTCTCGCGCAGTGTCACTTCGCATTTGTCTAGTCCGGCACCTCTTAGACAGACGTGTGTGTGTGTGTGTGTGTGTGTGTGTGTGTGTGTGTGTGTGTGTGTGTGTGAGACGTGTGAGTGACAGAGAGACGGAGGGAGAGCAGGGAAAGGAAATGCAACTGAAAGAATACACTGCGTGTTTTAAATAGCATTAAACAAAACGCAATATGTGGCGGCCGGTGTTGATTCGGTGGCGCACCTCTACGAATTAGTCTATGTGTGGGAAACACTTCATAAAAGTCACGTGCGAACTGCTCGGCTCGGTACTAAGGGCACTTAGCGTCGAGTTTCTTAACTTTTTCGCCGACGAATACTAGATTCCGCGTTTATTGGCCAATTCCGCGATTCCGTGATCGTGGAAATTATAGGGCCCTACCTATTAATCTGTGCAATTGGTGAGCCCACAAAGAGGCACCCCCACATTTTTTCCCCGGTCTAAACCCGACTGGAACCCATGGATTAGAGAGCCCAGCGACCTTCCGCTTGCCTGTGAGCTACTCTCCCTGGCCTGGCTTCTGGAGAAGGCCCCGGTATCCCTAAACCGGGCAAAGTCTTTCTTATTTTGACCACATAATATGGGAAGGGGTTGAGCTAATCTTTGTCTATTATAATAGGTTGTGGTGGTTGTTGTTGAATATTAGAATATTATGCATTAATCAGTCCTAAACACTTCACTTTCATGTTTTCATTATTTTCAGGGCATATTCAACATTACCAACTTTAATTGGTGACGACATTAGCTTCTTCTCTGTAGATTCTGTAGTTATATGTTGAAGACTAGCAGCTTTAGGGGGCCAATGGAAAAGGGGCATGTGTTAAATTTTTATTGTGTTGTGAGAGGCAGATTTAAATAAAATGTCCTTATTTTCACAGAAACTGATTTGGTTGGGCCTTTACTCAATCCCATGGCCTCAATGCTGCAAATGCTACAGGAGTGCAGTCAGCTTGAACTGGCTCTGCGACTTCTGATGGAGTCTTATGGCAGTATATTACTGCACTTTGTTTCTAACAACATGGACATCTCGCTAAGCAAAAGGGTGAGAATTCTGTTAGAAAAGACTTCTTGTCCTTTTTTTTCATTGTCAACTTTTAGTCTGTAATGTTGGTGTTTGAGCATGAAAACGGTCTGCAAAGTTACAAAGCACAAAGACCACTCCAATGGGAGTTATTCTCTATATCAGTAAACACTGTTTCTGAACTCCCAGAAATGGCTTGATTGTAGTCTTGAGTTTTTTTTTTCTGGGAACGAACACATCACATCACAATATTCCTCATTTAAATAATTCCCACTCCAGGCATATGCAAAATAAAGGTGTGAAACCTGGTTGAGTTGTGTTAGTAGTGTGTTGAAACTCGCGGTCACGGTGAGGGCATCAGAGCACATTGCGCTTTTCGAAAGGAGGGGCTTCATAGAGAGAGAAACTAAACAGAGCGTTGCTGACAGACTGGGAAGAGAGGTGCTGCAACAATTAAAAATTTGTGAAACATTTGTTTTTTGAACATTCAAACATGAAAGCCTATTTTAGTAGACCCTAAAATCAAAATCAAGTCTTTGTAAAAGGGCATAATATGGCGTCTTTCAATATAATGCAAATGAAAGCGTTTTTTTGACGATGTTGTATTTCTCATTTCCAGCTTCAGTCTAACAACCGCATGGCCAGAGACAAACAGACTCTTGACAGGATAGAGAAAACTGTTCTCTCGTCTGTCACAGTGGTTGTGGTCTCCTTGTTACAGAAGGTGTGCAAAGGCACTTTAGATGCACAATTATATTATTTCTATGAAATTATGTAGTTCAGTCAATTCATTAACTGTAACGGAGTTGTGTTTCAGGTGCTAAACTGGAGAGTGGTCGACTCTGATTTGGCCATCGGACTTTGCACCATTTTGTCCAAGGCAGCGGTCGTGGATATTTTGTGGAAGATGATCACCAGTGCCTGGCAAAATTACGACAAGATAAAGGTCAGACTGAAATTTGGTTTGTGACTCGAGCTTTCATTTATTAGTTGTGCTTGCTAGGTCAAACTCCTAACCTTAAGTATTGAAGGTAGGGTAGGCAATTTTGGAGAGGCTAGCAATAGCAAGACCGCTTTAAAAGCATATGATCCCACCCTCCCTTCAGAGCGTCTCCAAAGCCACACCTCCTTCAAAACATATAATATATATATATACTGTATATATATATATATATATTTGATTATTACTAATAAATTAAGCTACACTACACCTTCACTCAAATTTTCCCTAGAAAATGTAAAAATATACTTGAATAAAAAATGTATTTATTTATCTTCTATAGGTTGTTGCTATGGTCGGAGCCCATCTAAGTTTTTTGTATAAGGATGAAGAGGAGAGAGAAAAGTTTTTGTCTGTCATCACTGATGCAGAGTGGGGCATTCAGCTTGGCAAACTTGGGGTCAGTGCTGAACTTATGCAAAGTATTTCATTATTAAAAAAACACAATATGGCCAGAACTGTGTGAAAAAAATAAAATAAACGTATACTATGTCCATTGACATTTCTTCTTAGGTTTCCATCCAGTCTGTTTTCAGGCAGTGCGCAGAGACGAAGAGAAACTTGATTCCTACACTTGTGAAAAACAAAAATATCACTCCTGACATCATACTGCATTACTGCAGGCAAGTCAGCTATTCACTAATTTGCTTTATTTATAATGGGTTTTAAAACACATATTTGGTAAGGTTTCTAAGATTATCAATATTTATTAATAATAATGTATCAGTGTTTTTGAAAAGGGAATGATTCTCATTAATACTGGGCATTACTGTTTGAGCTGAAGAGTGAATGAACAACAGTAAACTAAAGCACCTTAGAAGCGGGTTAATTAACTTATTCTCATATACAGTGTTTGGTTTGGTTATTTTAGATCTGCACAACAAAAACGTAATATTACAGCTTACATCTGCACAAACGGATATAAATGCAGAAGTGAACTCGGCCTTGCTAGTCAGAATGTGTAACTTCCGTTAGATGCGCTCTTCTCATAGCAATGTGCTAAAACAGGCAATCGAAAGCACAATGAATTCTCAGCATGCTATTACAATTGTGTTCTCATAATGTTATGAATTTGTCAGATGGGCACGGCATATAACTGCATTTTTCAAACCATGGTAATCAAACATGTTTTTAATGAGAATTAAAATGTGAAACGGTAATACTAACCATCTGGAATTTTGCAGTGGTTTGTTGTGTAACCGGTAACCGTTTCATCCCTAGTGGAAACAGACTGGAGGAGAGACATGAGTGAGGATGTTGGGAGAGAAACGAGATTCCAGTTGTAGTTCAGTGAGACATTAAATGAGATGCTGTTTAAATTGAGTGACTGGTTCAGTGTCTGTTATCTTTTTCACGTTCCCAGAGCATTGCAATATTTTAACAATATTTTACTGCTGGATGAAAACGGAGCATGACAAATTCATAATCCAGTCAAAGGGACGGACAATTATTATTTATAGTGCGAATACCTCTAATAATAATAGAGCATTACAATCAAATCAATGTGATTGAGCTGGTTTTAGTCATTAAGAGGTTAACAAATTATTTTGAAACAAACAAAAACAATGCACTAAATGTAAAAGAAAAAGACAATGTGTCAACCGACTATAGCTAATATATTTAAAAGCTAATGTTTCATTTACTATACAAACTTGCATATTTTTATGGAAGCTTGTTTCCGCCACAGAATAAAAAAGGTAATTGCAACTTTTATTTCACAATTCTGACTTTTTAATCTCAGAATTGTGTGATATAAACTCCCAATTGCAAGAAAAAAGTCTGAATTGCAAAATATAAACTTTCTTAAACAATTGAGACTTTTTTCTTGCAATTGCGAGTTTATATCTCACAATTCAGACTTTATAACTTGCAATTGTGAGTTTATATCTCGCAATTCAGACTTTATAACTTGCAATTGTGAGTTTATATCTCGCAATTCAGAGAAAAAAAAGTCAGAATTGTGAGATCAAAGGTCGCAACTATCTTTTAAATTGTTTTATTCTACCGAATTTTCTGTATTCATTTGTATTAAAACGTGCTTTGCACAGTATTTTAGAGTTGAAGGAAATTTCCATGAACTTAACGGATAATATCCTGACAGAATTTTACCAGTACATTTTCTGTTGTTGTTTTTGTAATACTCACTTTTTTATTTATTTTTTTATTCTACAGCACATTTGGATTGGACAGCGATTCTGCAATCAATCTGTACATAACCACTCTACTACTGCAGGAAGATAGATGGTATGAGATGGAGATTGAAGAAGGTGATGCCAAAGGTACCCTGCGGGGTGAAGAGTCGCTGCTACGAAAAGATGACATGCTAGAAAGAGCTCTACAGATTGTTCCTCAGCTCGGCTCTACCAAAGACCTTGTGTTCAGTCTCAACTCTGCCTTGACCAAGGTCTTGTATTGCATACTTCACCTCTGATAGCCTAATCCCAGTGATCTTAACTTCTATTCTCCATGCAAAATATTTCATAAGATGTTTGTAATATTTTATGGGGTACAGGACATAAGGCATTGACTAATGTATAGTTTGTGCCACTAAGTGACATTTGATTGCTCAAATGTCATTTTGATGTGTTGTAGTATATATTAATCTAATGGTGTATACTGTTTATCAATGCAATATTTACAGCTAAATCCTTACAACTATGAGTGGATAGAGAGAGTCCTCAAAACTATTCAGATGGCTGATGAGAGCACAAACCTTCTACCCCTTGGTCAGGTCAGTGAAATTCCAAGATTAATTTTTTTTATTTTTTTAAAGATGGCTGTTTGATTTGGCCCAGGAACAAGTTTCATTGTAACATTTTTATGATTTATTGTTTAGATGGTTGGATTACTCCAGCATTTAAAGTCACATAGAAGAATCTCTCCTCCCACTGACCTGGAGAGCTCATATCTTTTGGAGAACGGTCTTGAACCCACTGCTCTAGCTAACACCCGCCTGCCTTTTCATCTGCTATTCCAGACCAACCACGCCTTCTGGAAAATTGTCTGTGTGTATCACACTTTTTGCAACCTTATTCATTGTGCCACAGCCTTCCAGATTTACCTTATTGTGTTTTTAATTTTGTCCTTAATTGCTCATTTATTTTCTGTACAATTTGACGCTTTCCTCTGTTTTTCTTATTGTGTGCCGTGTCAATAGCTCCTGAACTTAGCGAGGACACTTTACCCACGCTGCTATTCATCTGTAAACTGCTGAAGGTAACACACTGTTGACGGAGCTAAGATCACTGTCCTTATTATTATTCCTGGTTTTAGTTTTTTTTTTTTGCATGTCAATGATTTATTATTATTAGAACTTCTTGCCATGTAGCAGATGTTTTTGTAGGTAAAGTGACATCACACAGTTTGCTTTTACAACGCTAATAAAACAAGGGCTTTGAAGTGCCCCTTTCACACAGAAATTCTGGAAAATTTCTGTAAAAGTCGTTCCACAACTGTTTTGGGATTGCGTGGTTTTGTTAATTCACACTGCTAGAGCATTCCCGTACTCTCTGCATTTATTCGTAAAGCTAAAGTGACATAACAATACCCCCCCATTATAGTATAATATATTTAGCTCTACACATATTATCTGACATAGATAAATATCAAAATTCAACAACCCAACAATATTAGTGCAGTTTTTACAAACATATACCTGACATTCATAAGAGCAAGAGTTATGTGAAGTAACCAAAATTGCCACTTTTACAGGAGATATTTACAGTATTTTTCTGTTTTGCTTTTTACCCAGCTTAATCTTGATAAGCTGTATGTTTTAGCTGTGAACCATGTGTTCAAGAAGAATCTTTTGCCTTTGCTAATGGATCAGTCTAAGAAAATCCAGCATCTTGGTCCCAGCAAAGAGTCGTCCAGTGTGACTCAGAGTATCTTTAAACATGCACTGTGCATTCAGAATCTGGAACTTGCTGCAGCCACAATCCATAAAATTGCTCAGGACCTTCCTGCAGGTGAGTCTGGTGGTATGACCGCACTCGATCCCTTCAATTTTTTTTGAAATCTTGTTCAGGTTTCTCTTTTACATACCCCGTACAATGGAAGTGAATGTTGGCAAATAGTGTCAAGCTCCAAAAATGGACAAAAAGTAACATGAAAGTTACTTGCACATTATGTCGCAAGTCTTCTGAAGAAATACAATAGCTTTAATGCGAGGAACAGACCAAAGTTATTCACGGACTGTGTTTTCCAACATATACTTTGGTGCCTCATGCTGCTGCAGTGGACTTGAGCAAACACATTGTAATAAAATAAAAAAATAAAAATTGGTTGGACAGTTCTGTGTATCGCATTTGATTCATTTTTGTTTATTTTTTACTTTTTATTATTATTCTTTTATTTCAGGTGGAGAAAAGACTGATTTCTTAAAGTTCAGCTTGGAACTCGTACACAAGTTGCAGAAGTCTGATGCTCTGGAGGTATGGTGACGTCCCAAAGAAAATCTAAATGTATTGGTTTGAGGACAAACTATGTAAACCATGTTTTGCAAGTGCACCATTTATATATTTTTAAGCTGTCTTGATAAATAGATAAACATGACCATGAAACATGGCTCATCTATTAAACCAACCCACTTTACAAGGGAAGACAGAACTTGATTGGATCACAAGTGGTCAGTTTAAAGAAATTAAGTACACCTGATATTAATGCATCTCCAGTAGCCTCTTGTGATCAGATTTTGTCGAGTGTGCTGGTTTTGTGACTACACATACTTTTAAGATTTTGCACATTTTGATGCGAAGCATGACAACAATGAAAGATTTATTTACATAGTGCCTTTTCCAAGCAACACAATATTTATATTTACATTTACGTTTAACCATTTAGCAGATGCCTTTATCCAACTTACAAATGAGGAGAACAAAAGAAGCAACACATCAACAATAGACAAGTGCTGTGACTAGTCCCAATTAGTCTAGCACAGTACATGCAAGCTTTACTGAATAATATATAGTAGAATACTAAGTGTTAGTATTAACGAGTCAAGTGAAAAAGATGCGTCTTTAGCCGTTTCTTGAGAATGGCTAAAAGCTTGAGTTGAGTTTGGCTGGTCATTCCACCAGCAGGGAACAGTTAAGGTAAAAGTCACTGAAAGTGATTGTTGTGCCTCTTTGGGATGGCACCACAAGGCATTATCAAGATTTAAATATGGGTAGGGAGTATAAAATGATTAATTGATTGATTACTTGAGTTATTTTCAGTCAGTGCTGCTGAATTTGCTGGTTTAATTAATCTCCCAAGCCTGATTTAGGTGTTGCCAAAACAGAGCAGCTGTTAGACTGGAAAAGTGCATCTAATTGACAACCAAACACAGATCACTTTTTGTATATGATGTTTAGGGGCAGGTAAAACTGGGGTAGCAGCTCTGGACAACACCACAATAATGAAATGATGAAAAGAGTTTGCTGCAAAGTGGTTACAGTAAATAAATAACCTCAAACAAATCAAAAGTTTGAGTATTCAAAGTCTGACCTGAATCATATATCGATCCTTCTCCCTCTCTGTCACCCCTACATTCCAGCTTGATTCTATTGTATAATATAAAAAAAGCCTTTAAAAACTATCAGACCATCAGAGGCTTTCACAAAAAATGAGCAAATTCAATGTATGCTCCTGAATCATATGCCTTCATGCAGCTGTATCATTGTGTTCTGTATGATTTTGAACGACTCAGAATAAGAGTTCCAGCAAATACTTATCAGTTAATGATGGAGAAAAGTACTTCTCTTTGCATCTTCATAAATGGAAACTCAACAGGTATAAAGTATAATTAATAATTAAAGAAAAGAGAGAGAAAAAAAAACACTTTTAATAAGAAGACCAGCACTTATATTGGTTGGTTTGAAAAGGTTAATGAAGGATAATTGTTAATGGCTGAAATCATGATTCATTGTTTAAATCAACAGCCCTAAAAAGTAATAATAATAACTCTGTCCTTGTGAGTAAGTGTGTATTATGTAGGTGCATTAAATGTTGTTACAGTTTGCAGAGCCTCTATCATTAAAAATGAACTGGGAACTTGTGGTTGCCCGATACTGTTTAAAATTCACTTAAAGGAATACTCCACCTAAACAAAAAAAATGGCATTTGCTCACCCTCGTGTCATTCTGAAATTGTGACTTTCTTCTGTGGAACCGTTTAGAACTGTCCATGCTAGTTTGCTAGTTAAAACTAGTGAAAATTCACGCAAAGTAGAAGCTGTTCAGTTTAAAGAAATAACAAACACGTAGGAATGATTGAAGGAATTTCCTAATTTCTACCTGACAGCTCAAAATTTTAATCATTAGGATGTATTTACCGCCATGGCTTTGCATTTTGGTTCACTATACTGTGTTTTATTGTGCAATGACACCTTGTCAAAAAAAATGGATTTCTGAATTTATGATTCCTTTAGTTTTATTAGTAAGGACTTGATGTTGTTGACCACATTCATTTCACAAATCTCTGTCTGCCCCAATCCTTCGTTACTCTATCCCTCTCTCTTCTTGATTCTGTCTTGTTTGGATCATTTACCAGGAAAATTTGCAGTCTCGAGGTGAGGCACTCATCTCTAAACTGCAGTTGCAATATCAGCGCTCGGCCACAGAGAACGCTCTCCTTTCATCTCAGCTCAGCTCCCCAGAGCTCCTCAAACTCACAGGCCTGCCTGGGCGCCTGATTGTAGCTCTCTTTGAGCATAGCTCAGTGGTGGACCATATGAAGAACCCTGCTGGGATGACTTACCCTGGTAAGGACAAGGAGTATAGTATATCTGTGCTATAAGATCAATTTGATCTTGCATTATTTGCTGTTTTTTTATTGATCAAAAGTGACAGTAACCTAGTGACATGTTAAAGTCTTTAATACCGGTAAGTTCTTTTGAACATTCTATTCATCAAAGAATCTTGAAAATAAGAAACTTCTTTCAAAAACATTATAGAATCTGAACAACCCCAAAAAAGTTAAGGGTACATGTATGTGTGCTTGGATATTTATTCTGCCACCTTTTTTCTGAAACTGGACAGACATTCACAGCGTGGCCAAGGAGATTGCCTCCATCAATGGTGTCGATCTTCTGAAGATCCGGAACATTCTTTTGGAGAAATGGTTGTGCCAAACAGGGCAGTCTAATGGCAAGGTGTGTAAAATATATCAGACACACTGCAAATTCTGCAAAGTCTTTTGAGAGACCAACACATTTATTGCTATAGTAGTACAGCAAATTCCGACTGTAGCTTGATTAAATCTACACATGTAAACATACTTAGTATGAGGGTGCATTATTAAACACGACTTAAATTGATGCCTCCTTTTCTGTAGGACATAAATCAGCAGGACTATGTGACTGATATAAATGATGACCCTGATCTCATGAGGTACTAATACAACATACAAAAAGATTTTACCATGGAACATTACCAAATGGATTAAACATGTTTCTGTAACATGGTTAGAAATCTTATTGAAGTCTTTCTCTTTCCCCTGTTTCTTTTCCTCTCATTCTCTTTATACTGCAGAGTTGTTTATTTGCTGCAGATGCACCCCATGGATATAAGTGCTCGCTTGCTCAGTCCCATCCTGACAGCACAAACGTGGGTAAGTAGGACTTTTCACCCTCAACAGAAACCTGGGCATCAGGCCCTGTTTATACTTGTGCGTTTTCGTTTTAACATGACGTTTTAAAATGAAAACAATCCTCGTCCATACTGGCGTTTCCACTGCATTTCAGAAAAGATCTCCGTCCACACTATACACCCGAAAACGCACGTCACATGAACATTCATGCACACTGTGCGCGTAGAAGTGTAAACAGTTGCTGATTGTTTCCGATAACTCTAAAATAAAGGCTTATCTCTTGCACATGTAGACGGCTGCAGTAATATAAAATGCAGAGTTTAACTGCACAACTGCTGCTAAAAAGGTTAACAAAGTCAGCAAAGCTTGCAGTTCCGTCTCCATGTTATTGTTAGCACGGTATGTTACAGAGCTGTCAAGAGCGACGGCTCTGGCCTGTTATTGTCGTGTTCCGGTAGCGTAATGGTCATAGGATAGGGGCTTGACGAATCAGGGAAGGATACGCAGTGATCCAGAAGACCCAATCAGGGAGTGAATGTGGGCAGCCACGCCTTCGTTTTCAACAAAGTGTTTTGTGTGAACTAAAGCAGTAATAGTGCCGAGACAGTGGAATGAGTCTGTCAATGTTTAAGAATTTGTTGAAAGCGCACCTAATGTTGGTAGCGTATAATGGTTAGATGTGGTGTTTTATATGTTGTCTATTTATTGGTCTATGTGTGTCGTTATTTTATTTTATTTTTCAATTTTATTTTTGTTGAATTTTTGACTGACTTAACCCTGCAGAAACCCTGTTTATACTCTTTTTATTTCTGTTCAATTTGGGGAAAGGAGTTCAATTAAGAGGTCACACACAGCCCCAATCAGAAGTTCTAGAAGCTCATAATTCATGTATAGTCAGGTCTGAAAAGACTCATGGGAAATCACACAGGAGAGAAGCCAGTCAGTTGAGTTTGTGGCAAAAACTTTTAGTGCAATTTTGTCTTTCAATGCATATGATAATTCATACTCAGAAAGTAGACCTGAAATGACATTCATTTACAAGATGATTAGTTAAAACGTTTCAAAATGCACCTGCAGACTATTTTTCTAGTCATGAATTTTGTCATTAAGAATTTCTTAAAAATACTGTGCAAAAATCTTGTCTCGTTTTCGTGAACCCAATCTCGTGTCTCGTCTCGTGAGCTAAGTGTCTCGTCACACCCCTAAAAATGACATTAAATGTTCTGTTAGATCTATAAATATAAAATAGTAAAAAGTTATAGAACTTACCATTAACCAATTAGCGTTTTACCGTTAAAAATTACAATTATTTTAAATTTAACTAAACTTAAAAAATGGTATTAAAATAGAAGCAAACTTGAAGATGCAAAACAGGCATGCATTAGATAAGGATTTGTCAGATTGCAAGAGTTACTTCTGATAATGTTTGAAGCATCATTTAAAATTTGTTGAAAATAAAGAAATCAGTGATGTAAAGAAAGTAAAGGTCTGACATGCTTAACATTTGTTCATCTCTTCAGCCCCTGGGAGGATCGGGCCTTCGTCTGACCTTTGAACATCGTAGCCGTGCTTTGATCTGTCTCACTCACTTAGCAGATGCTAACACTTTGGAGGCACTTTCCAACCGGCCTAGTAGCAAAATCAAGTGAGCGGCATCTAGAATATACTATTAAATTAAATTATTTCAGTTGTTTGCGTGCAATTTTAATAAGAATAGAACTGTAACCATTTTATATGTCTAAGTGTTAATGCAAAAAAAAAATATATTATGGCATTAATGACCATAAATTGATGTTTTCACAGATATTATTTGAAGTGTTACATGTACCTTGCCCAGATGGAAGCCCTGAACATTCCCTACACCTTGGAAATGTTCATCAGCAGCCCAAAGGAAGGCATGATCAAGGGTTTATGGAAGAACCACAACAACGAACCTCAGGTAGATAGTGCAACTAATATTGAAAGAAACGCATCATTTCAACAGACAAGTTCTGTCAGTTCTTACTAAAGTTTTAAAAAAAAGTTTAGTATGATGAGAAGTGGTGGGGGAATTCAAAATTTTTAAATCTGTAAGATTTTTTGTTAGTTTGTCTTATTGTTTGGTTCTTTTTAAGAAATTAATACTTCTATTCAGCAGGGATGCAATAAATTAATCAAAATTGACTGTAAAGACATTTACAAAAGATTTCAAATAGATGTTGTTTTTTTAACTTTCTATTTCCCAAAGAACTCTGGAAAAAACATTGATTATAGAAATGTATATATATATTTTTTTAGCACTTAAATACATTTAAATAGAAATCGCATTCGGAAATCAGACTGAATGTTCATCTTGATGTGAACAGGCCTTAAGGCCATGCTGTGCTTGAGTATTTAAGATGAAGTGTGTAATTTTCTCTGTTTTATATACTTTCTCCTAACCAGTTTAATAATGAGCAGAGAAAACTGTTAGTAATCCATTTATAGTTTGACGACCTGAAGAGTATGAACACTGTGGCATTGCTCTTTTTGAGTGTTGTTGGACCCATTGTAAAACATGTAAACACTAACAAGTAAATAAATAAATATCAGTTAAAGCTTTATGTATGTGTTTTATGTATGTCTTTATTGTCATGCAGACTATCTCACAATTCCACTAAAGCATAATCTGCATAGATTTTTCATTATTTTTTCCAGGCTGTCCGTCTTGTGGCAGATCTTTGTTTGGAGTATGAGGTTTATGACTTGCAGCTGTGGAACAGTGTCTTGCAAAAACTTGTGTCGTTCAATATGGTAAGTCACATGTACTTTACTATCCTTTTAAAGCTGTTGCAGTCATAAGTTAGAGTCATTTTGTGTACTTGTGCACAAACACTGCATCCTGAAACAATGGCGATGATATTGGAAAAACTCACGAAAATTGTGCATGCGAACTATGAATCCTGTCTCTTTTTAGACGATTAGTCATGCTTTTTACTGCGTTTGAACTGTATACCTAAAGCTGGCTGATACATGTGATGTTTGTTTAGGTGGACGGTACATTGCTGCCTCCTTGTGTTCATTGCTGTTGTAAATTTCAGAAAATGCTTCTTCTTTTTCTTCTATAGACAAGCTACTTGCAGAAGGTTCTTGAAGCTCTCATTGCAGTGCCCAGCCTGTTAGAGGTGATCATTTTCCTAACTTTTGTTTTTATTTAGATCAGGGGTGTCAGATGTTGATTCTCTTACAAAGCACACACAGCCATCATGATGGTAATCCATCTGAACCAAGAGGATATATCAATGTCTTCTGAAGCAAAACAATAGGTGTGTGACGTAGCATAAGTGTGTTGTGAAACTCAAACATTATGTGGAAGCGCAGAGTACCGTATCTTCTTGAATGAGCCGTAACTTCTAGTACTTGCATCGCTTCAGAAGACGTTTCACAATGTGTTTATTTTTACCTCAACTCACACACTTTATCATATTAAAAATGTTACCCATTCATAGCAGAGGGCCTTAAATTGAAGTCTTAAAGAAAACACACCCTTTTAATGTGAAATATTTCAATCAGGGCTAAAATCAGTTTAGAAAAGGGCCTTTATTCCTAAATTGTCACAGTTTTTGATGTAAAAATCCCACATTATAATTGGACCTCAGGAAACATAAAATAGAAATTGCTGGATTGGGCTCCTCCATGGGTAATGTCTTTGACACTTCTGATTTAGGTCAATTTAACACCAAACTGCCAAGATTTGTATTTTATTTTTTTATATTATTTTCCTGCAGGGGCAAAGTCTTTCCAGGATATGGCGAAGTGTGATTCAAGCCCCTTTCTTGACAGGTAAAAATGGAAATACTTTGAAGTATTACTTATTACTAATTTGTATTACTTAAATGCTTCACTGTTTGTCTTTTGATTATTTTACAGCCTCTCTTCCTCTCAGCCCTCGACAGCATGACGTTATGTATCAGACATTCGTCCTGCTTCTAAAGTAAGTCTTCAGTCCAAGGGTCTGTTTGATCAAAACAGAAAGTATGAGCATAGGGTTAGGGTAGGTTTATCACTGAAAATTGTATTGTTCTTTGTCTACTGTTATTGTAATAACTGAACACAATGGCAACAGCTTTCTTACATGTGCACAATGGCTTTTGGCTTGGTGGGATTGGGCAGAAGGTGCTCCCCTCTCCTCCTTCCTAATTAACTGACAGAATGGCAGTCTCTTTCAATGTTTCCCCTGCATTTGGCCTAAAACACTGTGTTCATTGTCTTGTCATCCATTTTGAAATGTTGACTACAAATACAGAGGTTCACAGCCTACAACGCACTGGATGCTTACCTGGAAACTGAAAATAACTCACTGCGTCTAATAGGGCTGTAGTCAACCAAAGAAATCCTTAGTCGACCAAAGTCTTGTCCTGCGCAACGATTAGTCGACTAAAAAAAAAAAAAAAAAAAAAAACGCGATGTTTTGATTGAACAATTTTTAACAATTGTCATAGAGCATTTATAAAACAACAACGAAAAAACATCAAAAATACATAAAACTATAATAATAATACAATTCTTTGAAAAACTGCAAAAAGTGAGGAGCTCTGTCCTCCTAGGTCTATAGTAACAGTCACAATCGCGCACCTGACCACACCACACGCTACAAAAAATATAACTGCTATCTGCCACAATGAAAAATCCTAACAAAAGCTCTCGTTTATACAGGCTGTATATTCTTCTTTACTTTCAAAGCTATGGGTTAACTTTTGTCCAGCCGATCTAGGAGTTTTAAAACAAACACACACAAAAAACCAAAGAGCCTAAAAAACATTCCTAATAATAATAATAGGCTGTATTGTAGGACCGCATATAGGTTTATTTTCGTTTTGTTACATTATTTAGGCTATTTTCAAATGCGTCAAGTGTACAAATAAAAACAAAAACATATCAAGAAAACAATCTATTGAGTCAGCATGATAAAGCCGTTAAAGGGACTGCTCACGTCTTTTGCGCGCTCAAGTTCGATTTCAAATGTAGGCGCGCGGTGTGCGCGCTCATGATGGAAGCAACGGGGTCGCGGTGCGACGCGCTCTTTTTTTTCCAAGTGCGTCCACGCCGCATCAAGATAAAAACATATAGTGTATAAAAACATAAAAACCGAAACAAGTAGCGTTCTAACTGAATGAATACAGCTAAACTACCTATATCCCTTACTGAGCACGAAGCAGCAGCGCAGCCAGCCACAGGTGCGAACCGACTGTTCTATGTGTGTGCGCTAAACTGTGGCGCTGTTACAAAATAGCCTAAATTAAAGCATTTAAAGTTGGGGATAAACCATAGGCTAATTATATTTAGAATACAGTAATATATAACTGCTTATAAAGGAATAAATATCAAGGAGTAAATCATTGAAAAATTCTTTCTATTGGTAAAAAAAAAAAAAAAAATGCGACTGGTCGACCAATAAGAACGTCAGTCGACCAAGACGGCATCGACCGATTAGTCGACTAAACGACTAAAGTTGACAGCCCTAGCGTCTAAACATTTACTCTTTGAATTCTTGCACACGGGAACAATACACAAGTTTGCTAAGAAGTAATTCTTACTAAAGCTAGGTGGTATTTGACTCTGGTCAAGTCTATCCATAGCAGACTGATGGGAGTGGTAATTTTGCTGGAAAACTTGGTTTAATATTAAATCAAATAAAAACATTGGAAAATAAGTAAAGAAATTATTCCAATATAATGGCTAAACAAGCCATTCTCTCATTTTTTTTAATTTTTCAAAAGTGCATACTCTTTCTGCCACTGCACAGAAGGAAGGAAGGAAATTATTTTATTTGAAACAGGGACAATGCACAATAAACATTAAACTTGTTAAACAAGAGAATATGTCTTGGGCCAGGTTGTAGCAACATTTGCTAATTTGCACCTGTAGTCCCTGAAGAATGCTTTGACAACATTGTCCCGCTACATAATTCAATTGTATCTGTGATTTGATTATTTGTTTCTGCTGTGTCTTCAATATTTACTCAATACGGAGCGCCTAAAGGGACGATGGTGGAAAAAATATGGGATGGGACGGGAGGAAAAAATATATTTTTCAAAGCTTCTGCATCGTCTCACAAAACTTTTGCATTCTCTCGCAAAGATTTTGTTCTCTCGCAGGATTTTGCGTTCTCTCGCAAAACTTGTGAGTTTGGACATTCACTTCCTGTTTAATGTCCCGCTGGCGATGTTTCAGACAACTCTTCATTAACAATGGAGTGGTTCGTCGAGTTTTCTTGTGAACTTGGACTTAAGTATAAAGAAATACATAGTCAGTGCTTAGTTCAAGAAGTTCAGTAAATTTGGCAATATATTCACAGATTCGAACTTCCCGGATCAATAGCTTGTGAGCTAAACGTTGTTAACACAAATGACACCTCTTTCTAATCATAGTAACGTAGACAACGAGCTACTACCTAATTTTCCTCAAAATGAGCTTTACAATATAAATTGGTCTCTAAGCAGGTGGCTGATGGTCAAGTCTGAGGGTAGCGTATGTAATGTGCAAAACCCGAAAAGCGTTTCTACAAAAATAGGCATTAATGTTACACACTGTAGTGTCACCAAATTCAGTTTAAGTCGAGTCAAGTACCCTTTATTTATATAGCGCTTTTTACAATACAGTTTACACATCAATGGTCCCTTACTGGTCATACTACAACCCATAGTTTGATATAAATGTGCTTTTGCATAATTTTTATGATTTTCTTTTATGAAAAATATTCAATAACTTCACTGTAACACTGCTGTCATCAAATTCAGTTCACACATCACTGCACTCCTGCTGGTTATACTACAACACTTAGTTTGATTTTGCATAATTTATTATTATTATGTATTAAGACATTATGAGATAAAATCTTTACTGTTATTAGAAAAAAATATTCAATAACTTCACACTGTTAGTCTGTTATACAGTGTAATCAATGGCGCCACCAGGGGGTGGCCAGGGGTGGCCATGGCCACCCCTGGCCGACTCCTGGCCACCCCACTGGCCACCCCAATGGCCAGAATAAATTTTAGTAGCATCAGTTATGCATTTCATAAATAAGTCAAAAATATTCTTTAGTAAAAGAAGACGGGGCATTATGTGTCGTGACGTTCTTTTTAAGTGCCAAATGGTTACAGTATACTGTTACAGCAGCTTTTTGATGTGTCTTTGCCACGTTTTGACAAGCAGGGATGGAAACAGCGCGCTTTTCGGCGCCTCTCGCTTAATTACGTCAGTTTGGGTGACAAAGTCATCTGAAGTCATTACATAGCTTAATGTGAGGGACAGAAGTCTATTTACATCATTTAAGTATACGGAAACTCGTTTTCCCTCCTCTGCGGCTGTCAATCATTCTCCATTCATATTCAAACAGCGCGCGCGCCTCTTGGATGCACGGTAAAACTCTCTCCAATATGATATATTCACATTATAATGCATGATCTGTAGATAAAAGGCCGTATATTTGCATAAAATTACTTTATTTTGTTGGAGTTTGTTGTTGTTTTTAAACGACTCACTACCGTGTGCTTGCTAGATTATCACACACATCACAAGGACTATGAATCGGCATCAAACGCGCAATAACTGGAATATAAAACTGAAACAAAGGAACAAATCGCACTAGGATTTGTGCGCTCGACATTTCTTCGCTTTGTGACGTGAACTTTTAAATACGCACTTATGCAGCGCAGTGCTGCACATAGAGTCACCATGTTGCTTTGAGCACATCATTCTGCACCCGCGATGCGCATACACGCTGTGTGCGCTCTGTTTTTCATGTTATCATGGGTTTGCGCACTGAAATATTATTAAAAGCCAATATATTTTGTTATACCTAGCCTGCTCAATACATTTAAAATAAGCATAATTTAATTGTATATTATTTCTTTGTAGTGTAGGCTATATGCACTTCTGAATTCTTGATATTAATATATAAATATAAAATTGTGAAATGTATGATTGCCTGATTGAATTTTATAAGAGAACTAATAGTAATTTGTTTTTATTAACATATTTAGATTTTATAAAATTACTGTGCAGATTTTTTCAAGAATTACTTTTTGCTGTTGATTTATACACTCATTAAGTTTATTAAAAATTCATAGTACATTTATGTAATATTTAAAGGTGTTAACTGTAATCTTACACTGCAAAATAATAACTTAAAAAGGATTACATTCATCACAATTATGTAAGTATCTGGAAATTTGCTGCGGGGCGAGGGCCCTTATATATATATCATATATATATAATATATATCATTATATATAATATAATATATATTAGTAGGGCCCTACTAATATCATTAGTAAGCTAACATTAAATATAACACAATAAACCAAAGTATATCAGTAGGAGTTTCCTTAAGTCTTTCTGATAGTTTTCTACAGGCCGGTTTACTACAACAGTAGAATAAAATTCTGAAATTATGGTTTATAGTTTTGGTGTGCCACCCCAAGATTTTAAGTTGCCCAATCTGGCCACCCCTATGAAAAATTTCTGGAGGCGCCACTGCGTGTAATGCCTTCAAATTCAGTAAGCAATTGTCATGCAAAAGCTATGGTTGTAGATAGTATGTTAGCTGCGTACCAACATAATTTGTGTAAAGAATAGGCCTACTTATTTTTTATGTGCTATTACTTGCCAAACTAAGTGTTGTAGTATAACCAGCAGGGGAGCAGTGATGTGTGAACTGAATTTGGTGACAGCAGTGTGTTACAGTGAAGTTATTGACTATTTTTGTAGAAACGCTTTTTGGGTTTTGCACTTTGCATTCGGTATCTTCAGACTTAAATCTAAATGTGTTTTAACAACGTTTAGCTCACAAGCTATTGATCCGAGAAGTTAAAATCTGTGCATATAGGCTATTGCCAACTTTACTGAACTCCTTGAACTACCGGTAAACACTGACTGGATTTCTTTATACTTCAGTCCAAGATCAAAATAAAACACTATAAAACGCTCTATTGCTAATGTATGGAGTTGTCTGAAACACTGCCAGCGGGACATTAAACAGGAAGTGTTTGTCCGAATTCACAAGATTTGTGAGAGAACGCAAAAGTTTGCGAGAGAAGGCAAATATTCTTAGCCAGAGAACACAAAGTTTCTCGGGGGAACACAAATGCTTTTCAAGAGAACGCAAAACTTTAAAAAATATTTTTTTATAACTCAAAGATAACCATTTCTCTTTTCTTCTCTCTCTTTTTTTTTTTTTTAGATGTCCATTTTTATTCACTTTGGATCTGGTTGCCATTGCCAAGCGGTTTTCTCAGTTCAGTCTGCAGGCCTTCTCTTTGGGCACACTCTTGCTCATACCTTGTGTCAAAAAGAAGGAACCACAGATTCAAGTAGGTTCACAATTCATAACAATAAGAGGGATCATAAAATTTAATTTAGTTTTTTTCAATTGCCTTGATACTATTTTTACAAGCAAATGGTAAATATCTCATCTTTTATGAGAAAATGCTTCCCTGCCATTGACGATATTTTACGGCTTTCCCTGTATGGGGAAAGGGGCGCTATTTCACATCTGAACGAGTACAGTATCTCCAGATCAAAACACAGGCAAAGAAGCAGAAACAAGCAGCCTCATGTGTAAGCACATGCATATGAAAAATAATGCGATCATCAACAAAAAACAGCATATAAATCAAAATGACCTAATGTTACCGAGTGAAATGTCGACCCAGGACGGTTAGTGGTTAGGACTGTGAAGATTTGGGTGTGTTGATGGACTCGATCCACTGCATCTTGGTTTTGATCATCATTCTGAATCCGATCTTTGAAAAGAGAAGAAAAACGCAATTTTCTCAGCTTTTTGCTTAATGTTGCTTTTTTATGAAACCCCTTCAAGTGTTGATAAAAAAGAATGAGAGAAACAGAGGATCTGTTCTTTTTCTTTTGATATATTGCATGTTCAGATATGCATACAACTAAATATTCTGGGGGACATTTTGTATAAATGGCCAAAACGCTGGCGATTGCTGGCAAAAAAAAAAAAAAAACTGCAGGGAAGAGTTAATTGAAACATAATTTTTTGTAAAGTGCGTTTTTGATGATCTGTTATTAGATTAGTACTGAAAGTTTTGAAAATGTACCATTTGCTTGTGAAAATAGTATCAAAGCGATTTAATTAATATTTTTATGATCCTTATTTTTTTTAAATAACATTTTGCATTTTCTGGAAGGTGTATGCAAACTTGACTTCGACTGTTGATATATATATACACTCACCTAAAGGATTATTAGGAACACCTGTTCAATTTCTCATTAATGCAATTATCTAATCAACCAATCACATGGCAGTTGCTTCAATGCATTTAGGGGTGTGGTCCTGGTCAAGACAATCTCTTGAACTCCAAACTGAATGTCAGAATAGGAAAGAAAGGTGATTTAAGCAATTTTGAGCGTGGCATGGTTGTTGGTGCCAGACGGGCCGGTCTGAGTATTTTACAATCTGCTCAGTTACTGGGATTTTCACACACAACCATTTCTAGGGTTTACAAAGAATGGTGTAAAAAGGGAAAAACATCCAGTATGCGGCAGTCCTGTGGGCGAAAATGCCTTGTTGATGCTAGAGGTCAGAGGTGAATGGGCCGACTGATTCAAGCTGATAGAAGAGCAACTTTGACTGAAATAACCACTCGTTACAACCGAGGTATGCAGCAAAGCATTTGTGAAGCCACAACACGCACAACCTTGAGGCGGATGGGCTACAACAGCAGAAGACCCCACCGGGTACCACTCATCTCCACTACAAATAGGAAAAAGAGGCTACAATTTGCAAGAGTTTACCAAAATTGGACAGTTGAAGACTGGAAAAATGTTGGTCTGATGAGTCTCGATTTCTGTTGAGACATTCAGATGGTAGAGTCAGAATTTGGCGTAAACAGAATGAGAACATGGATCCATCATGCCTTGTTACCACTGTGCAGGCTGGTGGTGGTGGTGTAATGGTGTGGGGGATGATTTCTTGAGTGATTTCTCACTTTAGGCCCCTTAGTGCCAATTGGGCATCGTTTAAATGCCACGGCCTACCTGAGCATTGTTTCTGACCATGTCCATCCCTTTATGGCCACCATGTACCCATCCTCTGATGACTACTTCCAGCAGGATAGTGCACCATGTCACAAAGCACAAATCATTTCAAATTGGTTTCTTGAACATGACAATGAGTTCACTGTACTAAAATGGCCCCTACAGTCACCAGATCTCAACCCAATAGAGCATCTTTGGGATGTGGTGGAACGGGAGCTTCGTGCCCTGGATGTGCATCCCACAAATCTCCATCAACTGCAAGATGCTATCCTATCAATATGGGCCAACATTTCTAAAGAATGCTTTCAGCACCTTGTTGAATCAATGCCACGTAGAACTAAGGCAGTTCTGAAGGCGAAAGGGGGTCAAACACAGTATTAGTATGGTGTTCCTAATAATCCTTTAGGTGAGTGTGTGTGTATATATATATATATATATATATATATATATATATACACTCTTATCATTTCTGAAGTTCCATTAAGTCCCCAAGACTTCATTTCTGAAGTTCCATTAAGTCCCCAAGACTTCATTTCAAGACACATATGACTGCAAGGGAGTCTCTGACAGATTTACGGAGTTCATGTAGTGAAGCTTTTGTCAGACTGATTTCAGAAGGATTCACTAAAAGTTCAGATATTTGTTTGTGAATCAGAATTTTGCTCAGTATATTTTCTTATTAAATTTAAAAGTGAATTATTAAAATATCTAAATATTCACTTTAAGTTGACAGCATATCTCATTTTCTGCCCACTATGTGATGTTACTGTTAGATGTACAGTGTAAACCGTAAAAGAAACATTTATTTAACACTTTTCACCATATTGTTCCAAAACAGTTTTATGGAAAATAATGCTTTACAACCCAAAAAGGCTGAATGAAACACTAATAATATCATACCTTTTGTTTACCTTTGTTGTATGGAAAAGAGTTTCTTGGACATTCTGCACATACTGTATCTATTTTATACTTTGCAAAATAAAAGTGCTAAGTTTTGTGAGTTTTGTATACTATGAGGGCAAGTAAATAATGATACTTTTTTTTCTTTTCTTTTTTTCTTTAATTTTAATTACCCAAACAGGCACTGAGTAATATATGAATTAACAACGTGTACTTACTATACAGTTAATATTGGGGTTTAGGTTTAGTTGCTTGTAATTATGCATAATTTACTATTATTACTACTATAGTAAGTACATGTTACGTGTAACTGTGTCACCTTAAAACAAAGTATTGTGATTTTGATTTTGAATGTATACAAGCTTTCCTGCTTCACTGATCTTTGATCTGAATAATGAGTCTGATTTTCAGTTTGTACTACAACAGTGTTTTGTTTTGTGTGTTTTAAACAATAGAGCTTCCTGTTGTCCTGTAACCCTTCCCTCATTCTGGATCAGATAGAGGAAAGCATGACCACTGGAGAGTTAGCCGGCATTCCTTCACAGGTTATTCCTTCTCTTTTTGTTAAACAAATCTTTTCACAGTACTTCTGTTGTATATTTTAATTCATTTTTATTTGCTCTAGATTAGAGACACAGTGTTCACGTTCCTTTGTGAAAATGGCAAGTCCCAGACGTTGATGAAGACCAAACACTTCACTTATTTGAAGAGGCACTTGATCTCCAAGGGTCTCTCTGAACTAGTGCAGGAGCTGCTGAACTGCCTTATGGAGCAAAATGGGTTAGTTGATCCTACTTGAAATTTCATACATTATTTTTTTTCTGATTCAGTTCATGAGTTTGCTAAGTTAAACAGCATTTTTTTTTCTGTACTGTTGTTGTACTGGTAAGGCTGTTCTACATAACAGATTTACAAGGAATAATGTACAGTCAGCCGGTCAGTATTGCAAAATAAACCTTAACAGAGTGATCGGGAAGTATTAATACAAACACTGCAACAATTAAAGGATCTGTTCGTTTACTCATAATTTACTCACTCCCATATCATCCAAGATGTTCATGTCTTTCTTTGTTCAGTCGAAAAGAAATTAAGGTTTTTGAGGAAAACATTCCAGGATTTTTCTCTATATAGTGGACTTCAACGGGGAGCAACTTGTGACGTAGGCGGAAGTACCGACCCGGTGTTTACAAAGCGAACGTGCAAAGACTAAGTCAAACGGCCTTTACAAAAACAATGATGTCGGACAATTTTGAAGTTGGAGGACAAAATGAGATGGAGGTTTTCATCCTACCTTACATCACGTGTGACCTTTCCATTGTGACCACGTAATGCGTGAAGTCGTGGACGTACATCGCAGAGCGAATGAAAGACCAGCATTTGTGGTTAAAACGTATAAATAAACTTTAAACTATATAAAGAAACTGCAATTTGGACCTTCAAACCATTGATCCCTGTAGAAGTCCACTATATGGAGAAAAATCCTGTTATGGTTTCGTCAAAAACCTTAATTTCTTGCAGAAAGAAAGACATGGACATCTTGGATGACATGGGGGTGAGTAAATTATAAGGAAATTTTAATTCTGGAGTGACCTAATCCTTTAATACTGAAGTTCTCTGAGGTCAGATAGAATTTTTTTTTCAACTTACGAGAATCATTTGCTCCTCTTGATTAACATTCTTTAATATAATATTATTGATTGTTAGCATCCACCCTTCCACTTTGCTTTATAAATTTCTTTGTAACAATCTTTAAATTAGGGGTCGCAACCAGTGGCACGTGAAAATAGCTAAAGAGGTGTACAGTGTATGTATTAAATTAAAATACATTCCCTTGAACTTGCATACAGACGTACTGTACATTTTGAGGTAATCATTACTTAGTCACAGAGCCTGTTAGGAGCTATAACTACTATTAAAATGTGAGTGTAGGAGCCATTTATTTGCCTTATTTGAAGGATAATTGTGTTAATCTTTTTCTTTTCTTGAGAGGTGCACCCTCTGCAGGACAGGTGAAGCTTAAAAGCTAGGCGTGGCTTGTAGGAGTGTGGCCTGCTGGGAGCACATGGTCTTTAGACCTTGCTTTCTGTTTGTTTGCCAGCAGTTGTTTTGATTTCAAGGATAGTCACTACAGTAAGAGTTTAAAGCACGCAGTATTTCTGGCAAACTATGCACATTCTTCTGTGATTTTTCTGTGATCATTGAGTAGGGATGGGCATTGAAAACCGGTTCCACTCGAGAACCGGTTCTAAGTTTTACGATCCATCGATATTGTATGCCCTCGACGTTAACGAGTCCTCTTATCGATGCTCCTGCTCTGAGTCATCCTTAGTATGTAGGCTACAGACCGTAAACTCACAACTGTCCCTTTTGTCCTTTATCAAGCACCATAGCACGGCGTCCAAAGCGAATTTTTGTACCGCCAAAGTCTTATTTGATCGGTGAGTAATGTAGATGAACTGCTGCACTTGTGACAGGGTGCATGTTTAAGAGAGAGAGAGAGAGAGAGAGAGAGAGAGAGAGAGAGAGCGCGCCCTGGTCGCGCGCGCGCGCGCGCGCACGCGCACTCTCTCTCTCTTACGGTAGAGATCCACTTTTGCGACATGACTGTAGCGTGGTGTCGCGACGCCTCCCCACATTTGTACATTGATGGGCGTTCCTCAAGTTTACCGCTATGGGCGTGGTTTTGAGCCAGCGGCCAGTCTAGAACAGAGGACCTGCGAGAGACTTCCCCCCGTCTACATATGCTCTGCTTCTATTGGATAGTCGCGTCGCGTTCAACGGAATTTATTTGCATAAAGATGGGCATCGGCCAGCTTTTTGACGCGCAGCATTTTTCCAAATGAAGCGCCGCCTTCCCGGGATGCTTTGCGGGCGCGTTAAAGTCGCGTGACGTCACCCATAGGAATAAAGTGGAGCGCGGCGCAATAGAAGTGTCGCACGGACAAGTGGATCTGCACCGTTACGGTACTGATCCACTGTTGCGACACGACTGCGTGGTGTCGCACCCTCTCCACATTTGTAAGTTGATGCGCGTTCCTCAAGTTTACCGCTATGGGCGTGGTTTTGACCCAGCGGCTAGTCTAGAACAAAGGCCCCTCGAGAGACTACTTCTATTGGATAGACTCGTCGCGTTTGACGGATTCATTTGCATAAAGCTGGGCATCGGCCAGCTTTTTGACGCGCAGCATTTTTCCAAATGAAGCGCCGCCTTCCCAGGATGCTTTGCGGGCACGTTAAAGTCGCGTGACGTCACCCATAGGAATAAAGTGGAGTGCGGCGCGACTGAAGTGTCGCACGGACAAGTGGATCAGTACCGTTAAGCCCCGTTCACACCGCCAGCGACACGCAGCGACAAAGCGACACGATCCCATTCATTTCAATGGAGCGCTGGCGACATCCGGCGACAAGAGCGACAGTGACCGTTGGCGACAGAATGTGGGCGTGTCAAGAGACAAGCGACAAAAGTTGAGAATTTTCAACTTTATGCAAATGAGAAGCGATTTTCGCGAGCGACAACCAATAGGAAAGAAGACTTTCAGTGGAGCTCACGTCTCGAGTGCAGGCAAGACAGAAGAGTTCGAGGGAGATTTCACTGTTTTATATGATTTGACTGTAACCACATACATGGATATAATAAAATGACGAATGGAAAAGAAACTGTCGACAGTCTCAGTGAGTTTAATTCATATACATTTATAGTTTGAGTGTTGTAATTTTATGATGCAAGTTTAGCACTGCAGCAGATCATTTTACAGTTTCCCTGCATTATGTTGACTATTAGGGACAAGAAAATTGATTATTTGTCAAATTCGAATGACGTTTTAGTAATTTATGACAGAATGAGTGAGTTTAATTTGTTGATTGATCGATCGTTAATCTAGTAAATGATTTAATCCACTGAACACTGCTGTGGTAATATAAAAACACTCTCCCAACAGCATACTGTTTCTTTTGAGCCTAATTCCTAGTCAAATTAAAATGATATAGTTGTATATGTCACTTCTGATGGTATTTTGTGTAGATATATGGCCAGACGTGCAGTCAACCAATAACATTAGAGCGACAGCACTACGAACGCCCACAAGCGACTGTACAGAGACAAGCGACATGTAGCGACAAAATCGCTGGCGGTGTGAACGGGGCTGTTCGTAGCAAAGCGAAAGGGTTCACCGTCTCAAAACTAAGCGCTGTCTTGCTCTCTCTCCCTCGCACATATTAATCAAAATAAACGACACGATGGTAAGGTCGGGAGACTAAAGTTTCATGTGGAGCATTCGGAGATTTGTTTTTCCTCAGTTAGGCTACCGCTGGGTGTGAATTGTGCTAAAATACGTTGCCTTTATCGGAAAAGCGTTCCGCACATTCGGCTGACATAAACCACACTTTAAATAAACGAAAAAAACTATCCAGTGATGAAACGTTTTCTGTGATGACACAAATCTTGTGGGATGTCCCAACCGCGGGATAATCACACAACGCGCACACGTCCGAAAATTACAAGTCCGATTCGCGAACTAATGACTCATTTGAACCGATTCGTTTTAATGAATGGTTAAATCAACTGATCTTTCCAACACTGAAGTCACGGGACATTTTTAATCGGTGTATAACTAATCGGTAACACTTTACAATAAGGTTCCATTTATTACATAAATTACATAAGTACAGTTTGCTCAAGTGTAAGCTTTAAAACAAATAAAACCACTTGTTTTTCCCCCGAAAAAGCATATGACTAGCCTACTTTTTTCCACACAGTGCAGTCTGTGCTATCAGGAATCGATAAGAGAATCGTTAAAGAATCGGATCGATAAGCAGAACCGTTAGTGGCATTGATATTGATCAAATCTTATCAATTCCCATCCCTATCATTGAGTGCCATAGGTTGTCGACCCCTGCTTCAAATTAAGGTATTTTTTACCTTTACATTTCATACTTTATGCTAGGCTTTTTTTCCCAACTGAGTAACAGTTATTCAGAAGTTAAACATTCACATCAAGATACTGTTTAGGGAAAGTAACTACTTTCAATACATAATCCGTATTTATCTTTGATTTGATGTGTGTCGGTTTCATTTGTCATTTCATAAGTTATTTATTTTTTGGTTTGAGTAGTAAGAATCAAGATATAACATATTAAAAGATTCTGGTTCTTTGTAATAAATAGGAATGCACCTATTTTCTGGTCCAAGCAAATATAGCAAAACGAATTATCAGAGAGAACTGCTACAGATTTGACTGCGGCCTAACAGTAATGGGATGTTAATAAAGAGTCCCTTATTTACTAGAAAAAATAAATAAATGAAGTGACATTTTAATTTTTTTACGTCACAAAAACCCGCTGTTGTAAGGCCCTCCCCAATCGGTCCAACGACAGTTTCCAATAAGTGGGTGAAGGTTTCTGCGCGTTCTGTCTTTTCAGAAGTAATTTAATTACAATTCAACTTTTTTCTGACTACATTTTATCTCGACCTCGAATTTTGGTTAAAATGCCAATTCATTATTGATCATTTATATGATAATTTATCTAGGCATCTGATTATTCTATTTAAGTCTTTACTCTTATTGTACTCGTTCATTCGGGTGCCAAGGTCGCACGGTCCTCGCACCGGCCGTTACTTTTTATGTGGACCCACGATCACAAACTCGCCAGTCAGATCGATAAGCAGAGGTTATGGCTAAAGCAGTTTAATAATGCTGCTATTGTTAAAAGGTACCCATGTAGCCCCCTACAGTCGCCTATATAACGACTATATAAGTTAAAGCTCAAACAATAATCAGAGGTTATGGCCTGTACTATGAGGTAATGTCGCCCAATTCTTACTAGAACCCCAATAGTATTTTGGTCTGGCCCCCTATAATTAATAATATAACTATATAACAACTTAATTAAAGCAGAGACAATGACCAGATGTTATGGCCAGTACTACGAGAAATGCTGCCCCATGCTTACTATTACCTCATTAGTATTTTATCTAGCCCCCTATAGTGAATGTGACTGCATAACAATGCTTCATACAACCCGAGATCTAGTATGTGTATACTAGTATTTTATACTGTACATTTAGTGTATAAAGCAAATTGCGTCGTACTACCAGCATATATTCAAAAAAAGAGATAGCTGTTACAATTTGAGAGGTTATGGCCAACTTAAAGTACCAGCTTTCAGAACTACGAGGAAAAGTATGTGTGTGTCTGTGTGTGGCGTCAGGCTCTGGAATAACCTGAGTGCCCAACTCAAGCAGTGCCCAGTTCAAATCTAAGTAGAAACAAGTCATACTGTCTTAAGTACAGGACGGAAGAATATCCTTAAATGTGGAAAGGGTATTAATTGACGATTCTTCTTTTCTTGTCAAGTATTGTCCTCACTTGTCTTGGAATCATCAGAATGGTTGTGAGTTAATTTTGTTGATTGTATGGGCACTGGAAAAGTTCAACATACATATGTATCAATTGTTTTCTTGATTGTAGTAAATGTAACTACTGCATAAATGTATAAAAGGGGGTAGGCGTCAATAAGCTTAAGCTTCTGCCTACTCCTTTTGAGCATCATATTCACGTTTTTATTTATTTTCTTACTTATTCATTGCGCATGTATCCTTCTTTAGTTTAGCCTACTGTGCTGACCTTTGTTACTATATAGAACTTTGTGGATCCTAGATGCTCAAATAAAAGTAAATCTCAGATGTCCTTAACCCTGGACGCAGCTTTGCGGTAACAAATGGATACAACGTAATCTACTAGAGTTATAATTTTGGAGTAAGTCAAAATAAAATAAAATGTAACAATGTATTAATAGTCAGGTAAATGTATCATGCCAATTACATAATCAATTCAATGATAATCAATACAAAACATCAAATTCTCTGGAATAAAGAGTAAAAGATGCATACCCGACATCAAAAGAATACCTAAATCTGTTTACAGAATCACCCTGAGCCTTTTGAATCATTTCTGTAAATACTCCTGTCCAAGACAGAAACCTCTTTCAAATGGAAACATGAGCTAACAATGGGAATCTGCATTAATCACGGTCCCAGACCTGTGCAGTTTACACCTTACTGAGGACAGAGGGCAATTTACATCACCCGCCCACCACAGTAAGCGAAATATCTCTGAACTCTTAAACTAGGGATGCACCCAAAGGAAAATACTGGGCCGAAACCGAAAATTCTGGATGCACTTTGCCGAAATAAAGTTTTTTTTATTTTTTTATAATTGTATACTTTTAAATTAAATGCAATCATTTTACTGAATCTGAATTTAAAAAACTACAAGCCAACAAAATAAAGTAACTACACTTTTATTTAAAGTGACACAAAAATAGGACAGAAAATAGCTGAATATTAAATATGAATATATTATTACAACAGAATCATATTTAACATATTTATTTTTTGATCATTTATTCATGGTCAAAAAAATACATATACACTTTTCCGGTGAGCGTGATCGGTACATGAGTGGAGTGTTTGGGCTGTGAGCGACAGCGGAGCAGAGAGAGGGGGTGATGAGGAGACTGTAAGGGTGAGGTGTGGTGGCGTTACTTATGCAAGAGAGTGTTCAAATGTTAATTTCCTTTGTTTTCTCACAGAGAGTAGCCCTCTCTTCCAGTTCTTCCAGTTTCTCCAGTGTTTCCACTGTTTTAACAGGAGGGTGCCGATTTTTTATATCCACTGTTACTCAAGTAATTGTTTCTTTTCATTTTCATTTTTCTTCCAAAAATGTTTCTTCACAAGTAACTTGCAGTGTTATGCTTCAAACGCTAGAGGGCCAGAAGTTACATTTGTGTAGCTTTAATGATGGAGGTATTTTTATTAGATAGGTGTTCCTAATCTTTATAAGTAAAACAAGTTCATTTGTGTTTCTAACACAAAGTTGAATAAAAGAATAGTTTCACTGAATCTTTCACTGTCCTTTTTTTCCTTTGAATAGTGAAGAAGAGGCCATTTCCTTTGCCCACGAATATCTGAAATACAGAGAGATGAAAGGAGGACAAACAGCACCTGTGAGCGACACTCTCTCGGATCCTGTCAGGGTAATAAAGCTTAAAATATTTTAACAAAATGTACATTTATTTGTAATGAATGTTTATTGTGGTTAAATAAAATCTACTAAGGTTCTCGTTTCATTTTTGTTTTGTCCTTCAGGTATTTTTGGACAAGGCGCTGGAATCTAGGGGTGCTCAAACATCGGCATAAGATTATGAAAGAATTATGAACAAGTAAAATGTTATCTGCTTGCATATTTTACATTGTATATTGTAACTTAATAGTATTTCAGTACTCATGTTTTGTGGATATAAACACCATTGTGTATGTAGACAGCTGATTTAAATAAAAATTACTATTACTTTTTTCGATAATATGGAAGTGTTTATGGAGCATTTTGAAAAAGGACCAAGAGCATCCCTTGGCACGTGTCGGTCATGGCTGGTTTGGACCAGAGCCTTTGAAAAACAGAGCGCCGATAGACTACCATAGGAATTGAAGAATGTAGAAGTAATGCGTCGTTGGGCAACCAATAGTTCCAAACACTGAGTACTTCCAGCATTGAACCCCGTTCATTTCAGTGTTTCTCAAGCACACTTGCTGGTAGGTTGATGAAATTACTCAATTCTCTACATTCCCTTTAGGAATCTAGTAGTGGTGTTTTATGATTTAATTCATGTCTATCATTAGATAATATATAGTTGTACTGTAATTAAAGTTAGCTGACGTGAGCAACAGTTACCATAACCATGGCAGTTGTTATGTTTTTAACCGTTGTTAGATAGAATTCTGTGATGAATGTAAGATGCTCCACACGTTTATGGCTCCCTGTGACTAATAATTGTGAAAATTATTATTCCATTTAATTTCCCAGAAAAATGGCTTGTAATCTTTTGAGAATGTCAAAGAAAGATCTCCTTCTGTTGATTCCAACTTTATCTGGAAGAAGCACATATTACACTGCTGTTGTAGTGATACTTTGAACTTTAATCTATCACTTTACTTGTGCATAAAGAAATGTATCTTTCAGTTAACAGGGCAGTTCTAGTGAAGTGACGGAATTGCAGGCCGACTTTAATTGAATGAAAGAACTACCGTTTGTTTATTGGATTTTCCAATTTATTTATTTTTTGGATGACATTTCATTTTGCTTTATTTTGGATAACAATTTTTTCCTCACTTTTAGGAGGTGATGGAGAGGTCTAAAGCAAGAGATATCCCTATGATCATTGATGCAGTAAATCTCAAGTTCCAGCTGTTGAACAGATCGGATTTTCTTATGGCCGAGGCTTTTAGCATAAAGTGAAAATATTAGTTATTTTAAATATTAGTTTGATGCTAATAATGCAAATAGTGGCAGATACTGTTTGCACCTCACTATATTGTAGTTGCTACATACAAACAGTATGCAATAATAACATTGTGTATATGATTATATTTATAAAATCATTATTTATTCTGCCTTCTCTCATTTTCCATATCAGTAAACACCTCCGACACATTTTTTTGTTTTGTTTCGTGGTGACTAAAACAGTCAGTCTTCTCATAGCTTTTGCCAGCTCTGACTAGCTTGGCATTTTCCTGTTTTTTTTTTGATAAATCACTCATCATGAAATAAAGCTTAACCTGAATGCCTGATATAACCGTGTAAATGGTATTGTTTGGTTCAACATACTCCCTGTTGATCAAAAATGTCTTCTTTGCTTTGTTTTATTTTGTGACTGGAAGTAGCCTTTATTTTTGCAATAGGCCTACATTTTATCACTTTGATTATAAACTCTTATTTACCTTATTCATTTTTGATAACTGATAAACTAGACCTGCTGGAACCCATAAATAGAAATAGAAGCTGAATTGTAAGTTTCGGGTGGGGTGTATATTGTATACTGTAGCGCGTATGACGCAAAGGTGGCACCTCTGTGATGATTTATATGTGAACACTTCAGACCAAATGTTAGTTTTGGCGTTATTAAAACGCGCATTATTACTCCTCCCACAGACAGCAATGCTGTAGTACGACTCAAACCGGGTGGCCACGAAGCCAGAACAGGTTTTTCCTCCATGTCCTACTTAGCGTCGCAACACGCAAGAAAATAACCCTCACACAGCCACACTGGATTGTCTAACGACGGATACTTTGGAGCATAACAACATACGAGAGGGAACTGTTTGTTAACCACAAACCCCGAGAGCACCATAAAGGATGAATTCAATACGACAGGTGCCTTCGCGGGTTAAAAGCAAAAGGACGGAAACGATTTTAGGAGGCGAGAGAGATCATTTCGAAAAACAGCAGGTATGGCAACCCATATATAGTTGATATCTTGTTACGATGCTAATGGTTGGTTAGCGTTCTTATGTGGGTACTGTGCTAGCAATGACTATTTTACGACATAATATGGTGCACATTCTAACCAGCAGAATAGCCTACATTATTGTGGATGCACGATTACAAACACAGCTTGCGTAGGCACTTTCTCATCTAGCAGCTACACTATTGCAGTTATAGCGTATTTCCAGAAATGTCGGCCGTTGAAACATTCAAGTGTATTTATTTATTTAAAGTGTTAAACTGAAACTTGCAGAAACGAAACAATAGGTTTTCAACAACTGGCAAGACCAGTTTGTATTTGACATAACGTCATCCGGGGACTCGTTGAACCTGAGACAACGTTACCTACAAAATGATAAGAACACCACCAATGTTCACCACGTGATATTAACATATGTTATTCTTTTGGCAATGATTATTAATTCTAGACTGCTTCCAGGATTATCTGACTGGACTATATGATTTGTGATGCTCATGTGCACTGTCAAGAGTAAAAATAAATGGATGACGTAAACTGTATCAAAGTAAAACGATGTATGTATGCCATAGATTGTTTTTGACGGTTCCTTTAGATTTAGCAAACTAGTCACATCTTTCTCTATTATTTGCCAAAAAAAAAAAAATATGCTGAGACAGCTACTATACAATTTGGATAATATTGACCAGTACAGACATGCATTTATGGCCTAATCTTGATTAAAAAGTTCAAATGGACAGACTGATGTTTAAAAAAATAAAATAATCTGAAAGCATAATGAATTGCGGTTTTATATTCCTAATTTGGAACCTTTCAAGGGAATTAAACAGAAACCTCGTAATCAAATAAGATCAAACTAAGGGGGAAAAAACTATATTATTGCTGATTATTATTTTATTTTTTGGCATTTTGAGAAGGAAAAGAATATATCTCCTGTTCAGGCCATTAAACATCAAACTCTTGATGTCACAAAATTATATCTATGTCTGGTATTTTTCCCTTAACCATAAGTAAATGTGGTTAGGTCTATTGTAGGCCTAAGTGTCTTGACAAGTTAATTATATGTCAATACCAACCTATAGTCAATAGCATTTCAGTTGTCAGTTTCCCTAGTCATTAGTATTTTGAACAGTTCCGCCAAATAATGCTACAAATAAGTTGAATAATATATTTCTGTCATGGAAGTAATTGTGTATGCTTCCAAGCAAATTATTGAATTAAAAATAAATAAAAATGAATGTTTACTGTGGTATATCCATACATTTTGATATTTTAATTCAATGTTTCCTGTTGGTCTTACAACAGCAATGATACTTTTCACGTTACCTATTAAGTTGCTGTTAGAGGAGAGGGGCAGAATTTGTGTGATAAAGCATCATACATTTGGTTAATATATAAAAAAGGGTTACACTTTATTTTAAGGTGTAATTGTTACACTGCAATTAGCTTATACATTTAAGTACTGAGTAATAGTTTGGTTTGGTTTAGGGTTAGTTGCATGTAATTATGCATAATTTAGTTATTATAGTAACTTAATAACTTATATGTAACATGACACAGTAAAATAAAGTGTTAACAAAAGAAGAAAGCATGTGATGTTAAAAGGCTGCATTTTTCCCCTTAGTTATGCAGGCCCAAGAACCTGGTTTGGCAGGTTGTTCTTCCCTTTTGCTTTGTATTCCACACATAGTGTTGTTGCTGGTTGAAAATGGTGAGGATCAGTCCGTCCGTACTAAATTGACTTGCGATATCAAGTAATGGTTTGCATACTATAAGTAGCTTGTCAACTAACTCTCATTAGAGTATTAGTAGACTTTTAGGTTAAGGTTAGTTGTTTGGGTAAATAAATGGAATAAGTTGACATGTAGTTGATATAAAGTTACTTATAGTAGGATGTATTTTGGGTGAGCATCAAAATAAAGTGTAAGCAGATGTAGACAAAGTCTACTAATACTCTGCTAACTGACATGTAGTCGCAAAGTGAACCATCGAAATACAGTCTTACCCAGTTAATTAGGAGTTTTATGATAATTTCTTGCAAAAAAAAAAAAATTTAAATCATGAAATATTTTCAGAAATGGCATGTGCTTCAAGAAAGGTATGTAATTTAAAGGGATAGTTCACCCTAAATTATAATAACGAGTATAACTTGTTCTTCCATGTAGCACAAAAATAAATGTAATGCAGAATGTTAATGACTGACAGCCTCAGTCACCATCCACTTTCAGTGCAACTTTTATCAGTCTGTCTCTAAGGCCCAGTTGTTCAAAAGAAATGTAATCAGATTTTGGTTTTCGGACTGGCTCAAATCTTGAAAATGGTTCAAAAGAAAAAAGTCTTCTGAAATCGGATTAGATCACGTAATCCAATCTTGGTTTTGATCTGGATCAAACCCTCAGTAAGTGTTGTTCAAAACTGTTTAGTAAGATTGGAACACCTATGATCCCAAAAATATGGATTATCCTGATTCCAGCAAAAGGATTCAGGATTAATATAAGACACAAAATGTAAAACTTGGTCAAAAATGGCAATGTTTGTGTTTATGTAGTAAATGTACACATTTATGTTTTGCACTTCATTTGTTTAAACATAGCTGTAGGCTATCTATTAAGCATTGCGGTATAAAGTTAAAAACTATTGAGATTGTGTCCTTTCAAAAATAATGATGAGATGACAGAGGTAGTTTCTAGCAATTGCACCCCTTATTGCATGTATAGATTTATTTACTTGGTGTGGGTCAACCCATATGTTGTTCGGCTTGTTCCAAACCCTGTATGAGTTTCTATCTTCTGTTGAACACAAAAGATATTTGAAAGAATGTTGGTAACCAAACAGTTGATGGTAGACTTTGACTTCCATAGTATTTATTTCCCCCAATGGCTACTGTCGACTCAACTGTTTGGTTACCAACATTCTTCCGAAATATCTTCTTTTGTGCTCAACAGAAGAAAGAAACTCATACAGGGTTGGAACCTGAGGGTAAGTAAATGATGACAATTTTCATTTTTGGGTAAACTATCCCTTTAATTGTGCTGCTTTCAGTCTCTTCAATTAAAAAAAGTGACCCAGTAGCCAACATTATGATATGTAGTCCCATTTAGAGCTCTGGAAATAGGGATTTGGTAAAGTTTGTATCTAGATCAGGGTGATCCGGTCCAGAATTTCTTTAAAAAACCGGCACAAAAGTAATAAGAATTTCCTGGATAGCAAAATATGACATTTCCCTATCTAGATCCAGATTAAAGTTTTTCAAAAACTAGGCCTAAATGAAAGAAAGTCATTGGAACATCATGAGAGTGAGGGTGTTAACTGACCTTTCATTTTTAATGGAACTGTTCATTTAAATGCTCACACAAGACGTCAGAAACGATCTCTCACAAAAGCCCGATGTTCTTTTCTCACTGACTGGTCAAATATCCCACATAGTCCTGTCTGTTTACTTTGCAGCCCTATGTGTTTGGCGTCAGTCTGCTGTAAGCTCTCGCGTGAGTTGGGTCGCCCTGCACTGACAAATGTTGCCAAGCAACCTATTGCCTTTGTGTTATCTCTCTGTAAAGCGAGTATTCAGAGGTGGTGAGTATATGTCAGCCTTTCCGTAGGGATGTCCTTGCACGAGTCAGTGAGCGCACTCTCTGTGTAGGTTGTGTCAGGAGGGGCATCCAGCATAAAACATATGCCAAATGTGAATGATCCTCTGTGGTGACCTCTAGCGGGAGCAGACGAAAGTGAGAGCGCGAGAAAGAGAGATCGTACGGATGTCCTTGCTTCAGGAGTGTGTATGCATAGGAAGTTACCTTGAAAGAACAGAGTGTATTGTACACTGCTGACGTGCTGAGCTTTTGTTGGTAACCAGACTGTTGACTGTAGCCATTCATTGACTTCCATAGTATTTTTTTCCTACTGTGAAAGTCAATGGATAGCGTCAACTGTTTGATTACCAACATTCTTTCAAATATCTTTTGTGTTCAACAGAAGAAAGAAACTCATACAGGTTTGGAACAACTTGAGGGTGAGAAAGTGATGACCCTTTAATAATGTAGCAATGCTACTGAGAGGATATTCACACACAAGCCCTAAAACATAATAACAAACCGCAACTATGACAACAAAAAATATGGTACAATTGGGCTAAACATATTACACGTTAGTAATATAACAACCGTTGGTTGTTTGTGGTTGCAAAACAACATAGTACATTAAAATCGATTGCACTCAGATGTGTGTGTCAGCATATTTTATAATGGCTTTCGATGTGGCTAATCAAACCAGAAATGAAAATTTATGAAAATCTGAAGTTGTCTGTCAGTATATAATGTTTTACCAGTGTTCTTGTACCTCAGTTTCACACAGTCGTCCTTTCTTATTAAGTAGGTATAGAATGCCATTCTATTCACTGAGAGCAGGAAGGGCAAACTCAGTTCTGGCTCAGGTTTCCTTCAGTGTTGAGTGTTTAGCCGCCTCTATTTGGTGACACAAAAAGACAGTAGGCAAAATGAGAAGCATGTGAAACAAAGTCTTCCAGGGACAGTTTTTTGCTCCGCTAATGGCCAAATGGAGTTCAATTTCATACGTTTTATGTAAAACTAGGGGTGTACACGTATTCGTATTGAACCGTTCGGTACGAGGCTTTCGGTTCGGTTTTCGGTACGCATTTTTTAACCGAACGGTTCGTTGGACCATTTTTACTGCCGACCAAAATTTCGTTATTTCAAATGTAGGCGCGTCGCGCGTGGGCGAGCGCGCTCATAATGTAAGAGACGCTGGCGTGACCACAACATTGCCCAACATCAAATGGCAAATGTAATGTAAGCGGAACGAAACCACTCGTTATTGTGTGGTTGACGGACCGTTAATCAGTTTGGACCAATGCAGCGCGAGCCGATCTTAATCATCAGCACTGTTAACGTTACTACACAGCGAAATCCAGTAAAGAAAGCATTTGAATACGCCAGTGAAGTAATAACATCGCTGCGAGATCTAGTGAGAC